TTTCAAGTTTACATGTCTTTTCTCAGACTTCTGAGTCTTGATGTGTACTGGGTAGACAGCAGCTCAGCCTTATTATGACTGTGTGTAAGAGCCTCTTTGTAGGCTTTTTCCCATATCCCGCAGGATGCTTATTTCTAAGAAGAAAGGAATGAACTATTGACAAATAATTTGGCCCATAGTTCTACATAGTGCTTCATGTAATTGGTGCCCTGTTATTAGAGAAGTCCACCACACAATTGTTCTTGTCCTGATATCTGCTCCAGGCTGTCCACGTGCTTACCACTGCTGTTTTGTATTCAAAATACTGTGATTCTCTCTCTACTTTGAAGTTACTATTTACGAAACAGAAGAGAGGGGACTTGTGTATATGTACCTATTATTTTTGGCAGATGACTGGTAGGATGGCTAAAAGAGGACATGATAGAAATAAAGGTGCCCTTGAAGTGGCCTCGAATGTGGGAGAGGGAGGAAATGTCAGTTTGGCCTTTGATCCTCCTCTTTCCTGACCAGGGTTATTTGGGCTCCAGAGTAATTTCTGACAGTGAAGGGCTCTAGGACTATGGAAGTTGATATGCAACATTTTTGGATGCCATGATGAGGTCAGCTGTCTTGTCGTGCACCCTTTTGCTTTGTGGGTGAGACAGGTCATTAACTGTCTACACTTGAAAATTGGAAAGGATTACAGAACAGATCTACTTACATATTGTGTGGTTAGTAAGAATGTTAAATTGGACAAGGACATTGAAATTCTTCCAAGCTTTGGCTGAATGCTTAATGGATCTAATTAGCAGGTATCTGATAGAGGAGCTATAGTTATTTTTTGACAGTATAAAGCTATGGACCAAACAAGCCTACTCTTTTAAAATACTTTAAGTTTTTGAATAGGTATACATTTATAGCATTCAAAATTTAAAAGGTAGAAAAAGTAATTTCACAAAATCTTCCTTTGACTCCTGTTCTTCAGTCATTGAGATTCTCCCTGTCAGAAACAACCAGTGTTACCAGCTTCTTGGGTATTCCAAAGATGTTCTATGTATCAGTAGGCTGATATAAAGAATGATTTACAATTAGCACATTGAGTATAATGGGCCGCTACTGAAATTGTGCCTTGTACCTATAGTTTGTTGGCATTTTCTTTTAAGCACGATTAATATTTCCTGTTTTTATACTATTTAGCAAACTTTCTTTTGGTGGGGGTAGGAGGTCAATAGCAGAAATTATATTCAGACCAAACATATGTCATTGATTAGCATACTCAAAGATTAGAAACAGGAAAACCTAGCACTTATCTAGTTTACTGTCTTCGTGTCCCCCCACTCCCCATCCTGCCATTGTGTCACATTTGGAGAGATAGAGGCCCTAAGAGATTAAATGACATGTTCTAGGTCACACAGCTAGACAGGGTCCAGGTCTCTTGGCCTCTAGGACAGTTCATCTACCACCCTTTGCTGCCTTTAAGATTGAGGCAATAATAGTTAAAATAATAATAAGTTCCTCATAGAACCTTCATTGTTTTCTGCTTGCTTACTCATCTAAACATGAGATAGGTGGAATTTGAATTCTAGCTACGAAATTCTCTTCTTGAATTTCTCAGTATCTTTTATGACTGAGAGGAGGTGGTGAGGCAGAGTCTTTAGACCATAGTCAGCCACTGATAAGAATGACAGTGCTTTGAGGGAAAATATTTATATATACTTACCTATATATGCATGTATTAGTTTCCTATTGCTGCTGTGACTAGTTACCATAAATGTTTTGGCTTAAAACAACACAGACTTATTATCTTATAGATCTGGAGGTCAGAAGTCCCAAACAGGTCAGCAGGACTGTGTGGCCCTGGAGACAGGCTGTATGGGGGGTAATCTGTTCCTTGCCTTCTCCAGCTTCTCGAGGCTACCTGTATTCCTTGGCCTGTGGCCGCGCATCAATTAGACCCCTGCTTCCATCATCATATCTCTCTTTTTGACTACCCCCGCCACCTCCCCCCATAATGGCTCTTGTGATTACATTGGGCGCACTCAGATAATCACCCCATCTCAAGATCTCGAACTTAATCCCATCTGCAAAGCCCCTTTTGCAATGTCAGTTATCCTACTCTCAAGTTTTGGGGATTAGGGTGTGGACATCTTTGGGGCACATTATTCTGGCTACCTTAAAAGCTTTGAAAGAAATTTGAAATATGGTTGTCCCTTAGGAGGGAAACTAGATGGCTGGGGATCAATTATGAGAGGGAGATTTTTCTTTGTACTCTTTCATTCTTTTGAGTTTGTTTCTTTGCATATTTTATTTACTTTTTATTAATTTAAATTAAAATAGCCACATATGGTTAAGGGTTACCATATTGGAAAGTGAAGCTTTAGAGAAAAAAGTACTAGTTTCTAGACCTGCTTTGGGATAGCCAGGCTCTAGTTTAAGCAATGAATTACATTCCAAAACTTTAAACTCCTTATTTGCAACTGGATTTTTTTCCTCCATAAAAAGAATATAATGACGAGGGATTGAATTTTTCGGACCACTAGAAGAGGGTTATCTTGCCAGATATGGCAGGTACTTCATGGATCTCACAGCCTTGATGCTACTGAAGTTTTTCTTATGTTACTGAAATTGTTTCTATGGAGAAATGTAGGCCAAATTTCTCCTTATTCCTTCTGTCAAGAAGGAGTACCTTTTTTCAGGGGGACCTAAGGACAAGTCCTGGGTGCTTTCCAAAATGGGCACGTTTACTCCCTTATAGAGTACCCCCATCCCTCCTGCCATCTCACCACCAATCTTCCAGCTTTGAGTTTTCCGTCTGGGGCAGGAAGTTTCAGAAATAGCAAATCCAAGCAAAGCTCATCTCTCCCTTTTGTCTACTTTATATCTCCTTAGTTTAAGTTCCCTTCTTCCCCTTTACCCCGACTGTGGAAATATTGATCTTATCACAGAGGTCAGGGCCATACCTGTTCAGGAAGTAGTGCTAGAACTGTGGTCCTGCTGCCCAGTGTGGGTCCCTAGTTTCTGTCCACAGGTGTGTGGACTTAGACTCATGCCAGGAGACCTTAGGTCTTCCTTGGTGTCTGTCATTCATCCTTCTTTTCTCACACGTCCCACTTTCTGAGACCTGTGGTTTCTATTCCCATTGGACACTGAGGCCAAGGGTTTGGGGAAGAGGTGTGTAGGGAGCTAAAGCTCCCCAAATTCAAAAGAGTGCATGGATTATCTCGGGAGGCCTGCTTGCATAAAAAAGAAAAGGCTGGGGTTCTGTGGAATTCCAGGAAGATTAAGTATAGACAAAGGGAGTATCAAAGGAAGTGTCAATTGTACCTCCATCTTCAGGATGTTACTTTTATTATGTTATTTTGAGATACACAAGGGAACTGATTATGTATAAAAAGAAGCATAAGAAATAAACTCGGAGAGACAGTTGTGAGATCTGTTCTCCCTCCTGCACCCTGTCTGTCTTCTCTTTTTTCTCAGTCCCTGCTCCCCCATTCAGGTACCCGGTTTGACTTGGTCGGCTGGCTTCCGACAGAGGTGGGCAGACTGACTCGAGCTTCCCTCCCCACACTGCACTCATGCCGTGCAGTAATGAAATTGGAAGTCCGGGACTCTGACTTTGGCTCCTCTGCTGACAGCTCTGACCTTGTACTTAGCACTTAACCCTTGCAGTTTGGTTTTCTACTCTTATCAAACAGGCTCACTCAGATATTTAGATCCCTTAAAAGCTCTACTCATAGATGAGTAGAGCTGGGAAAATGGGAATTGAGGAGAAAGCTCTCTGCTTACTGCCATGCCTGTGTGGATGATGCCCTTGCTCCACCGGCTCTCCTGTGCTGTTGCAGTGAGAGGGTTTTTCTTTCCTCTTCCTCTCCGGGGGCAGAGAGGGTTTCTGCCTCAGAGTAAGGAGGCTTGCCCATCAGCTGATAATCATCGATATTCTCAGGCCTCAGCCTGTGGTTGAGGTTCCCATTGTCCTTGTGTTCTCATAGAAGGGATGTTAGGCACCAAGTGCCAAACCCTGGGCCCTGGCTTTCTATAGCCTTTGTTTAAGGAAGGTGAGGTACGAGCAGGAGATCCCAAATTTGGATCCAAGACTGGAATGAGTGCTGCTGCCATGGGCATCTCCCAGTCAGCTGTGAGCCCCGTGAGTAGCGGGAAGTCTGTTGAGCCCACCCGCTTTATAACAGGGCTCCCTGTGCTGGGTGGACTATAGCAGTGTCATCACATAAATGTTCCCACCTCACTATGAGTCACCTTTCTTTCCCCTCTTTGGGTTTTTACTCTGATCCCTTTTGTCCATAACAAACAAGCATTGTAGGTCTGATGTGAGGCTGTATGCAGACACTGCCTCATTATCCAGTTAATCTCCATTTGCTGTCACATATTCAGCCAACAGTGGCATTTGCCTGCTTGTTAATCGAAAGCCTTTTTTTTCATTGTCACTTATGGGAAGAGCTGAATGACTCTTTATGCCACAGTCAGCCTTCTGGGGTTATTCACCACAATAGGCCTGACCAGCTAGATTAAAATGTGCAGTCACTGTGGGCTGCCTGTGTCATCAGTTCCGGATCTGCCTCTCCAGTCAGAGATCCAAAGTGAACATAGCTAGATGAGCCGAGGCAGTTCATCTGCAGTTGAGCAGGTGGAGCTATGGTTCCTTTGTGACCTCTGGTAACACTGCTGTTGTGTTGGTTTTGTTACCGGTGTCCAGTCCTCAACGACGAGTTGATGTTATTACCTCCTTTTTTTCTTGATTTATCTCTCAGGTGCCTGTTTTGTGTACCTGCTCTGGATCAGTGCCTCGCACTTAGAAGGCACACAGCTTTTGTGGAAAGAATAAATATGTATATGATTCTCAGAGACCCGAAGAGTTGGGCAAAAGGCTGCAGTGATTCCCACACTGGTGTGTGGAAAACTCACCTGGGAAGCTTATTTAAAATGCATTGTCCCCACCCCTAAAGATTCTGATTTAGCTGTTCTAACAGGAGGCCAAGGGCTCTGCATTTTAAACATGCATTCAGGTGATTTCTTTTCAGGTAATCAGTATCCAGAAAACAGTGTCCCAGGAGCTCTAAAGATTGTAGTGGGCTTAGGAGGTTTCATGCAGGACATACAGGACACAGCTTTAATACATTCGATTCTTTTAGCAGAGACGGCAAATAGGTTTCGTTTAACAAGACAGCTCAAATCTATGCATAGTGCCTGCAGTGTTGGGAAAGATTTTAAGGTCACGCTCAGTTTGCTAGGAAGAACCATGGTTACTAATCAGTCGTGCCCTCCATAGGTGCAGATGGGAGTGGCGGCATATGTACTAACATCTGCCATCTCGGTGGCCTGGACACAGGGCTTGGAGACTGGATCCTCAGCTGGCATGGTGCCTTAGTGCAAGGCAGTCCGGCCAAGATGCAGGCTGTGATAAATCATAATCCTTGGCTACCTTCCTTTCCCTTAAGATTTCAGGAGTAGACATAGAAAGCAGCCAATGATATATGAAAGGCTCAGTGTATAGCGGTGAGAGCACCTACTCTGGTACCAGATTGAATCCTGCCTTATCACTTGGCAGTTGCATAACATTGGACAATTTACTTAACTCTGTGCCTTAGTTTCTTCATCTGTAAAATGGGAGTAATAGTAGTGCCTACCTAATAAGGTAATTATATAAGGATTAAATAAGGTAAAATATATAGAAGTGTGCCTGTCACAGTGAAGACAATATGTGCTAGCTGTTACTTTTATTATGAGCTTATTGTGATTTGAGGGTACAAAAGAATGTTCAGCTTTTTGGAGAAGGAATTTTTAGAGTCTGAGATTCTCTTCTGGGCTGAGCTGTGAAATTCACACAAGAGAAAGGTACATTGGATGTATCTGAAAACCACAAGAACACGTCTTCCTCTTGTAAAAGTGTCATAAAACATATGTTGGCTTATGCCTTCTGACAACTTATCCCTGACTGTGGAACTATGGGAGGTAGCCCACTAAAATACCCAGTGGATAATTATTGATTTTGCTTGAAGTTTTGAAAAGAAAGAGTTCAGCATGAGGAGAGAGGGTATTAACTGGGACCTAGTTTCAGAAGGAGATTGCTGGCAGTACTAATGAATAGTATGGCAAAAAGAACCAGCAGCGTTCCAGCATTTATGAGGTGGCTTTCCTGTAAATTCTAACCAGCTGCTCTGTTGTTTAGCAGTCTCCCAGGGCAGTTCCAGCCTGATACAAGTTCTCCTGAAGCCTGGATTGCCCACATAATTGCTTCCCAATTGTCTCACTGGTTTTCATCTAAGTAACCTTTAAAAAACTATTTTTTTAATTAACTGTGTCTTTTATTTTTTTGTATTCTCTTTAAAATTTTTCTTTTATTTTTCAATTACAATTGACTTACAACATTATATTATTTTCAAGCGTACATTTATGTAACTTATGAAATAATCACTCCAATAGGTCTAGTACCCATCTGATACCATAAGTTACTACATTATTATTGACTATATTCCTTACGCTGTACTTTACATCCCTGTAACTATTTTTATAACTGCCATTTTGTACTTCTTAATCCCTTCCTTTTTCATCCAGCCTTCCAACCCCCCTCCCATCCGGTGACCATCAGTCGTTCTCTGTATCTATTAGTCTGTTTCCATTTTGTTTGTTCTTTATTTAGTTTTTTAGATTCCACATATAAGTGAAATCATATGGTATTTGTATTTATCTGTATGACTTTTTTCATTTTGCTTAATACCCTCTAGGTCCATCTATGTTGTCTCAAATGGCAGGACTTCATTCTTTTTTTATGGATGAGTAATTTCCATTGTATATATGTACCACATCTTTATTTGTTCATCATTGATGAATGAATAGCCATATCTTGGCTGTTGTAAATAATGCTGCAGTGAACATAGAGGTGCATACATCTTTTCAAATTACTGTTTTGGATTTCTTTGGATAAAACCCAGAAGTGGAATTGCTAGGTCACATGGTAGTTCTATTTTTAATTTTTTGAAGAACCTCTATACTGTTTTCCATAGTGGCTGCACAAATTTGCAATCCCACCAACAGTGCATGAGGGTTCCCTTTTCTCCACATCGTCGCCAACACTTGTTTGTTGATTTGTTAACAATAGCCATTCTGACAGGTATGAGGTGATAGATAACTCATTGTGGTTTTAATTTACATTTCCTTGATGATAAATGATATTGAGCATCTTTTCCTATGTGTGTTGGCCATCTGTATTTCCTCTTTGAAGAAATGTCTAGTCAGGTCCTCTGCCCATTTTTTAATTGGATTGTTCGTTTTTTTTGGTGTTGTTTGAGTTTCTTATATATTTTGATATTAACCTCTTATTGGCTATATCATTGGTGAATATCTTCTCTCATTCAGTAGGTTGTCTTTTGTTTGTTGATAGTTTCCTTAGCTGTGCAAAATCTTTTTAGTTTGATGTAGTGCCATTGGTTTATTTTTTCTTTTGTTTCTCTTGCTCGAGGAGATATATCCAAAAAAATATTGCTAAAAGCGATGCCAGATAGTTTACTCTGTTTTATTCTAGGAGTTTTATGGTTTTAGATCTTACATTTAAATCTTTAATCTATTTTGAGTTTATTCTTGTATATGGTATAAGGAAGTGGTCTAGTTTCTCTTGTTTTCCATGTATTTGTCCAATTTTCTCAACACTATTCATTAAAGAGACTGCCTTTACTCCGTTGTATATTCTTGTTCCCTTTGTCATAGATTGTAAGGGATATTTATTAAGCTCCTGCCACATGCCTAGCATTGTGTTGGGTGTCGTGAGGGATACCAAAGAGGTGGCCTATATCACAGGTACTCTAAGCTCTGGTTGAGTAGATATGCCAAATATTTAACAAATTAAAACCAAAAAATCTGTCCTCATTCTGTACAATGCCTGTGAGGGGGCCACAGGGACATATACAGCAAGAACCTTGGGACACCCCTTTTATTATTTACCATACACAGCAGGGTGGCTGAGATGTATATGCAGCTGTAATGAGCAGTATGTGAAGAGGGCCGCGTGGGTCCTGTAGCAGTTCAGAGAGAGAACACACTGTAGACCGGGAGGTCAGGAAGGGCAATGTGAGACCTGGGCAGGAAGGGTGGTAGAATTCACAAAGAGGCATAAACATACTATGTTCAGGTAGTGACAAGCAGATCATTTTGGTGAAGTGTGGGGTCCACCTGATGGCTGAGGTTGGGATGGTGGTAGCCTTTGAATGCTGGGCTTGGAAGCTAATGAAGCGTTCTGAGTAGGCAAGTGACATGACCAGGACAGAACAGAAGTTAGATTGAGCAATGGCAGAGTTGGGCTACCTTACCGAGAGGACGAGCAGACAGGAGTGAGGGCAGCATTCACAGCAGCCATGGCCTGGCGGTGAGCTCCTAACTTGGATGTACAAGGCAGACCTGAAGGAGACGGGGTCTGTCTGAGGAAGCGAGTTACAGACATTGTCTGCCTCTGTAGATGCAGGCTTTCTTACCCACCAGCCAATCTCTTCTTATGTTTTACAGATTCAGCCAGTTATTGAAAAAACCTTTCCTTTTTCTAAAGTTCCAGAAGCCTTTCTGAAGGTAGAAAGAGGACACGCACGAGGAAAGACTGTAATTAATGTCATTTAAATAAATAGTTTGGTGATTATTGGCTCTCTTATTTGGTAAGTGTGGGCACTCCCCCCCCCCACCCCCCCAAAAATACAAACACCTCTTGCCAGTAATTTCCTGTCTTCTGAACTGAGCACAGACATTGAGTTTATAGCCACACTACCACCCTCTGCTCATCACCCTGCCCTGCCCAGAGTGTTTTCTGGCATAACCTGTCCCTGACACATCCCTGCGTTCCTGTTTGCTGAGAGGTCCATGTTCTGTGCCAAGCACAAGGGATGCACAAGTAAGACATGATATGAAAATAGCCATACTTGGACTTGTCTATAAAGTCAGTAAAAATTGCATATTGTTTTTTCAAGCTGTTCTTTCACACCAGATTTGCAAATTGTTATGGCACCTTCTGTCCTAGTAGCTCAAACTTATCTTAGTGTTTGTGAGATACTAATAAGACTTTTGGGCATATGGATGGGTGGCAGCATGAAGAGCTTACTTATAGCTAGTTCCTTCTTAGATTCATCACTGAGCACTTTTTTTCTAACTGGCTAAGGTTTCCTTTGATTTTTTATTTTCCTGCTCTAATGTGGTCATAAGAGCCCTCAAAGTTCTGAACCTCTTAGGGTCGTGTATAAAAATCTGTCCAGTGATTTGGTGGTTTACTCTCTTAGAAATTGAAAGGTGATATAAAGTTTCTAACTTTTTAAAACCCTTACATTTTGCATAAGGGCTAGGCTTCCTTCAACAAGTGAAACGTGCTTCTCAGGACTTTTCCATGGGAATTACCACCATTCCGTTGGGGCCCAAAGTTCTCCAGTTTCTGACCTCAAATGCCTGCAGTTAGGTATCTCACCAGTAAGCCTATTACAACTTTTGAATTTCTAGTCTGTGCCCTTCGTTCATTTAAGGTGAGTGTTTATTTCCTGTTTTACTCATCCTCATTACTGCACCCTAGATACTCGAATTTAGCATTTGATGTAGACCTATTTGAGTAACTTTTTACTTGGTTTATTACTGGTAGACACTCATTTGGTAGTGTATTGGATGAGGTCTTTTCTCTAGAATGACTGGTCTCACCACTATAAATTTATCTCAGAAGAATTTTTAAAGTTGTGAATACAGCCACTTCTGACTTCCATCTGGACAGCCTCAGCTCTTTTCCCTTGAGGGCTGTGGTGAGGGGCGAAACTCTTAAGGTAGGACCTCACCCTCATGTCTGCTCAGAAAGGTGCAGTGCACACTTCCACCACTGAGTCTAGAAAGAGGGTAGTCAGCTAACCTTTCTCTGCCATTATTCCGGCACTACTGAAACTCGCCTTGTCTTAATCAGTCAGACATTTGTTTCTAATCTGCCAGCTGACTCTCTTTGAAATGTTATGAAGGCTACTGAAAGGACTCTATCAGATTTCATCAATACAATTAATCAGAAACAAGTTTATTCAAGAGATAAATTCAACACAGGCTACTGTATAATGTCTTCCCCCACCATTCTGTAATGAGATGTACAAAGGCCTAAAATCAGAGTTATACATCTGAGAACAAAACAGACATGTTGGCTACTGTTGGACATGTATAAACATTACTTTAAAACCTAAGATAGTACTCTGATGACCATGCTAACCACAGACTCCAGCAAGGATCAACATGTTAGAATCGGAAACACTGGAACAGATGAAAAGGAAACACAATTTGTTCTTCCTGTGACAAGAGCACCTGCATTCAGTGACGAGGACAATGAAATTAGGACAAGAAGAGTGTTTTCAAGGAAGAGTGATTAGCAGTTTTGTTCAAAACAAGTATGCGCTGTTTGAACAGCACCATCTGGGCAGTATATTGTCAGCAGTTAAACATTTTCAACTTTCATCGAAATGCTTGCTGCATTGTAGGGTTTTCAGAGTTCTAAGATTTGACCAAGTATCGCTTAAAGCCTCCTTTCCTTTGCTTTTGGGGGAGAATTGCTGGTCATCCCTCTTGAGCTTTCCACACCTCTAGTTTCTGCTACCAGGAGTGACCACAGGGGCTGCAATGACCCGAGGCTGTCCCAGGGACATGGCTGTGAAACAATACAGGTAAGGTAGCCCCATGCAGGCCTCATGCCAAGGCAGCAGGATAGGAGGGCAGGAAATTAGGCTAAAGATCTGAGTTCAGCAGAGCACTGTATAGTGTTGCTTTACAACTAGTTGTAGTTGAGTGAGGATGGGCTAATAAATTAGGTCATGGTAATACCGTTCCAGTAGCATCTGTAAGAAAATCATTAAATAATACTCATTTGTGACATTCTAGGGCAGCCCATGGGTGAGTTAAAATTATCCAAATCCTGCTAATAAATGTAAGCAGACGTGGACATGAAATCTTGCCTACAGTAAATTGACTAATTTTTAATATTAACTGAAAATAGTATTTTGTTTATACTTATTCAGTTCCTTAAAATATGTCTGAATATATAAGGCTTTCCCCACTTTGCTATACAGCATAAGTAATGATTTCAGAAAACAGAAGGTCAAAGGCCAGAACCACAGGCCTGATACGTTATTCTTCTCAGATGCTAAACAGTTTCTACCTTACAATCCTAAGCTTTTATCCTTCCCTTTAAAATGTAAGGGATTTGTAGGTTTGTAGGTACAAAGTCAGTAAACTTGTACCTGTTCTATCCTGTCACTATCTTTGGAAGGAATTTAAAATGTATGTAGTCTTAACATCTTGATAAAATATTAAAAAAACAACAACAACAAAAAAAACCACCCAAAAGCTGCTAATGAGGCAACCTGTTTCAGCAGCTGCTGAAAGGAAATGAAGACAGGAAATGAAAGAAGGACAAACTAATGGCTAAAACTATTACAGTCTTTTGAAAAGATGAGGCAGTTGTCCTGGTCCTGGCAGTAAGATTCAGGAGTGAATTTAGAGTTCCTGCAGGAGTATATCTACTTTCCTCTCAGCTCTTCTGTCAGCAGTCTTTTTTTTTTTTAACGTAGCTGGAAGACCTCCAGAAATATTCCTCCTACATTCGTTATTCAGGTTTATAGGACCATGGCTTCCCATACTTGTGTTAACTTTTCTTTGCCGGCAGTGTTGAGGATAATGTGATTTTGATCATACTGTACACCCCCTGAAAAAAAGGAAAAAGATAATAAAAGGAAATGTGCCTACAGTGAAGGGACTGTAGCAGACATAGTTTATCACAACACCAGTATAACAAAAGTAATCACCGAGGTGTAAAACCTGTGCCTCAAAGAAACAACGCAAGAGGAGACCCTGACACGCACCGCGTGTCAATCTGCTGTGGTAAGCATGTTTACATCCCATGGTGTGGGCACCAGCAGCTCTACACAGGGTGTCCGACTTCCTGGGGCTCCTTTTCCTACTCAAGTCTTAAAATCTCGTCCATAGTCCCTTTTAAAATATCTGAAATTGGGGGAAACAGGGAAGAATCTAGAGAATGGAAAAGGTGCAGAGACTGTGAAATACATTCAGTGATGGAATGTGGATTCAAGATACCAGTGAGGAAAAAACAGGCAGGCCTGACAGCAGTGAAATGGTTGTCAGATGGAACAGGTTTTGTATGAACAATGAGAAATGGCTGTATTAGGTCAAAGGGGAGGTTTGAATGACACCTAGAAGTGCGCCCACTACTGGGAACTCAGGCTTTGGTGTATAAGAATTCGTAGCATTTCAGGTGCTGGGTTCTATTGTTCTATAAAACTAGTATGGTCTCTATTCCCTTTCACTAGAATGTCCATTATTTTCCAAGGGTGCCTACTAGATATTTTAGATACTTTAGTGTTAAAAACAGCCTCGTGGTCTGTTCTTGCAATGGAGAAGTGTTAACAAAAGGGTCATCTGATTTTTTTCCAGTGTGAAATAAACATCCTTTCAGATACCTTATCCTTTTCTAACATAAGCCTCTACACCAAGGTTATATCACCAAGGACTCCATCAAGATAAAAATCTGTTCATCTAGATGCAGGGTAAGTGTGACTGGTATTGAAATCATATTGCAGCCTCAGGCTAAGAATTAGATGTTATTATTCTCTTTTAAAGCATTTACAAAATGTCTAAAAGGTCTGATAACATACTCCATAGATCTTGGTATTTGGGGGAGGAAATCATCTCCTACAGTATTACTCTTATAAGAGATTGGTTTATCATCACTGATTAATCTAGAGTCTCTATACAGCTAGGTGCAGGATAGAGTACAAGGGCAGTGTGCCTTGGACCTTTTTAGTGTAAGTTTGCAATGGAAAAAGTTACTACTCCCAGGAAACCCTATTGTCTTCACTGAGACACACACACTATACTTGAGATTTCAGAAAATATTAAGGTCACAATGTCTTCTTTTTTTCATTCTTCAGGATTATAATATGTTAACATACTTTTTGTTATATTACGGCATAATTCTAATTAGAATCGTGAAGACTAGAAAGTTCTTTAAAAATATCTGATTTATTCTTCTGCCTTTGGGGAGACTTAAAATCATCCCAGATTTCTGATGTTTTTAAAGTGAGCATGAATCAGCTCTCACGGTTGTCAATGCATGTGGTCTGGAATAATACATGAATGTCTACCAAACAACTCGCTCCCCAAACACCAGGAGAAAGACACTTGGTCTAATAAATCTTATGGCAATACCAGTAGGTAACAAATGGTTTAATAGTTGTAGCTAATAAAAATCATTCTCCTATTAAGTGGACCAGAGAGATTTCCCTTGCACAGTATGTAGGATACGTGGACTACTCGCTAGTGTCCACAAGATGGCACCATGCTCCCACATTTGGAGACAGATTTAAATTAAGTTTAACAAGCCATGACGTCACTATTGCAGGTACCATACTAGAGTTCACATACAGGAAAGTTCACATATCCTTACTCAAGAGCCATTTGACTAATTTTAATGCTTTTTAGGAAGGAACCTTGGAACTTTAAAAGTCAAGTCCTAACGAGGAACCTCCTAGAATCCCACAGCTCTTGTCAGAGTCAAAACTAGAAGCCAGGTAGCAGGTGGGGGGAAAAAAATCCTATATGCCTGGAGCTTCTAGAAGGTAAGCCCTCCGAAGCCCAGGTAGTATTCATTTTTTTTCCCCACTTTGGTACCCCCATTGTCTAGCACAGAGCCTTCCACATAGTGGGTACCCAATAAATACATGTTGAAAGAATAAAAGAAATGCTCTAAGAAACTAGTTCATAAGGATTACAGTGACCTTAACCCTGGACACAGGAAACTGATCACATTTGTAAGAAACATGAATCCATGTTTCTAATTTAGTCACTTTTTGTTTTGGCTTCTATGGAGGTTTTGAAACAATCTTGAATAGAATGAAGAGTTCCAGTTCCATAAGTTGATGGAAATAAGAATAAAAGTCTGAGTGAGTGATTCTTAACCAGTTTCAATCTCAGGCTGATATCTGTAGAATGTCTACAAATGACAAATCTTGTCCCTAATGTAATGTGAAGGTGGTATACTTATATTAACATTTTCTGAATGTTGCCTTTATTATCTTATATCTGAGCGTCTTGCTTGCATTTCATATGATGGATGATTTTTGGTCCCCATCCAGCCTGTTGTATACTGCTTAATTTGTATTCTCTAATATAGTCCTCTGCCTTTGCCTCAAACTTAGTTTGCCTCTGAGCAGCCTTCCACCTTCTCAGGTTCCTTATGAATTCTAATGCTATTGTTAAGTGGGTTGGCTACTCGACTCACCTGGAGATCACATAAAAGGGACAGCTACTTCTCCCCATGCACTTACCAAAGCCTCTGATGAAAATCTTCAGGCTTGTTCTCCATTATCCAAAAATATTATTTTAAAACCAAGTTGCAGCTGTTTTTTACCCCTAAATCATTTTTTAATGACAGCTTTGGCTGAGAATCATGAGTAAAGTAAAACTGAGTCAACTGTCTAGCAATTTTAAAAAATGGAGTATTTGTTATAGTATGGTTACATTATCACCATTTTACTAAATTTCTAAACATAATCATGTTGGCTTTCCTGATATGAAATAGAAAGTCAAAGTCATTAATAATTTAAAGCAAAATTACCGTATATGACATGAATAAAACATACTTCGTTTGCTTGTCAGCAGCAACAATAGTTCACTGAACTCCTGTGTCTATGTTAGGAAGTCAGTTTTGTTTTATGTTTTTAAATTATCAATGGTTCTCCTAGCAGTAAGGGCAACACCTGGAAACTTGTTAGAAATGCAGATTCTCAGGCCCCACCCCAGACCTACTGTATCAGAAACTGAGGATGGGGCCTAGCAGTCTGTATTTTAATAAGTCCTCCAGGTGATTCTGATGCAGATAAAGTTTATTCTTCCCAAGCACCATCGATTTGCTCTGGATTAACAGATGTACCATTGAAATCCTCTTGGCTGCGTTAATTCCTGTTAGGTTTTTCAATGAAAGGTTATCTGCATCTACATCAGATTCATCAAGTACATTAAGTGAGATCACAGCCTTTTAATTTGTGATTTTTAGACTAACATTTATACTAAAATAAATGGTTTGAAGACCATCCATATCCAGGTTCTACCTCAACACTTAGGGTATGAGATCATGGCCAAACTGATTAACCCCTCTGAGCCTCAGTTTTTTGGGTTGTAAAATGGGACGGCAGGGAAGGGATAACACAGATCTCTTAATTGCTGCGAAGATCACATGAGAATGTCTGTAAAGTGTACATCACTGTGACTTAGTACACTCATCATTTTCAAAAGTATAGATTTTTAGTAAACTAAAGAAAGACACAACAAAGCAAATAAAGGAAATGATCCTTACCTTTGATATCTAAAACTAAATTTGGCTTCAACTTGCTATAGATCCTGCCATCTGACTTCATGCTCCAGAACTGACTGTCGACATTCTGGTCGAGGGCCAGGCCCAGCTTAGATCCAGAGGTTACGAGGCTCCCCACAATCGTCAGGCAGCAATCTTCTGCTATCTGCTTAGTGCAAAAGACAAGGTAGCTTAGAGATGGATGCATGTTCAGGTATCACTGTAATCAGTTCCCTGTTTAAATTGATTTAAAGTTATCTTAAATCCTAGCTTCATTTATCCTGTATGAGGCATTTCAGCTTTTAGCCCAGGTAACTGGATCAAACAACAAATATTTATGCCCTTTAGTTCAGGTAACGAGGGATGAAAAGTACTCAGTTTTTGTTCATTGTAAGAGATGTCTGCCCTTAGAATATTAAATCTGCCAATCAAGATATTTTTCCCCTCCCAGAAATGACTGTGACCTAAGGCTGGGTCTGTAGCTAAATCTCCCCCAGACATACCTACTCTCCTTCCTTGACACTTCTTAAATATGGCTGCATCTCTCATTTTGAAGGCTGTGTAGCACTGAAGTGTCTAAAAGGGTGTTTTATCATTTTTAAACGTGAAATTCCATGTATTAATTTTTCTTGTCTGTCACGAGAAATGTCTAAAATTTTCTCAAAAGGCATACTACCCAACTATAAAAAAAGAATACAAATGTAGTAAAGTATGTTTTAAATCAAAAGTGTTATGAGTCCTTACCTGAAGTGAATCTACCCTTAATATATAAACAATGTTCACATGACATTAACACACACTGTTAAAGAAAATGCCTATGAAAAGTATACTATTCTATATTGAGATAAAAAGATTGTGATAATCTAGGACACTTTACTTTCTCTCATTGAAATGTTTGTTAGAAATTATTGATGAAAGGTAGTGTTTTATTGAATTTTTTAGTTCAAAGGCAGAAATTGTTTTTTTTTTTTTTTATGCTTCCATATTATAGCTCATGCTATTCTATGCATGTCTAAACAGTACTTCTGTTTACAGAAAGGATTCTCCCTCAAGCTCAACAGACCTAATTAACAAGCCTTTCACAAGGCTGTATGCCTTCCTGTGACTCATGGAGCACCAAGTTAAAAAAAAAATCAGGAGCAAACAGTCAAGCCCATTAAATCAAGGAGCTAAAGAGAATATCTACAGTTGAAGCATGAGCTTCTCTCATAAAATCTTACTACATTCTGCTCTTAAATGTGTATTATGGCAAGAATGATGCGAGAGGGAGAATGGAGTGTTTTCCATTTTACAAGGTATGATTGACACTTAGGAAATGGACTGTGTCGTACATAGGGTGATACCTATTCACTCTGTGTCCTAGTCTGTGAGGTCCTCCAAAACAACCAAGAGTGATTTGTTTTAATAATGTTGGGGCTTATAGTTTATTTCTATAACAAGTAGACTAAGAAAAAAGAGTAACAGATACTTCCTTTTTCTATGACTATGTAAAAGTCACATATAGATATAGATACTCTATCTTGGATCAGTGTTAGATTTACCTCTCATTTTAAGTTCCTAGACCGGTTTTATAAGAGCTAAGAAATATTTTCATGAAAACCCTGAAAGTGCTCCAGGAATCATGAAATAGCATCTACTTGAAGATGCTATCCCAGACCTTTGTCTAATCCTGAAAGCTCACCCTGCATTTGATGCATCCTTCTTGATAAATCCAAATCTGATCATCCGCACCAACGTCCTCCATGACCTGTATTCGCAGAAGCTTCAGATCCTCTAGGTTTCCATTGGTTGACATGAATAACCCTGTTGCTTTGTTTCGAAGTCTGAAATAAATTCGTTTCTAGAAGACAAAAACCCCAGTAGTAATCATATATAAGTTGTACTGTTAGAAGTACTGAGCAAGCATCAACAGTTGGGGCAGAATCCAAGGCAAGATTGGATTAAGGATAATTACTATACCCAAGAGTCACAGAGACTTTAGGATTTTCTCGGTAAGATTTTGACAAAATTTCAAAGAAGTGCCTGGGGCAGGGAGCCTACCACCTATGGACATCCCAAGCCTTGGGACATGCCGTGTTTTGATGTGAGGCATGGTAGCATTTCTGAAAGCAGGCACAGCCTCTTAACACCAAAAACAGAGCCCCAATTCCGGAATCTGGGTAGGTAAAGGGAGGGGCCAATTTCAAACTTAAAATTGAAACTGAAAATTAGAATTATATTTACTCCCCACCAAAAAAATTCAGAGTCTATTCAAAGCACGAAGAAGAAAAAAATACCTGAACAAAAGGTCGTAGAGAACCTATTTGGTGACAGCCACTGAATTCATACCAATTAGGTATTTCTGCTGGTGACAGTAGGAACTGTCGACCCCTGTAATTGCCATATTCATAAGTAACCCATCTGGAAAAGAAAGTAGTAACCACAAGTAAGCTACAATATCCATTTGTCTGTGGGCCCCAATTACACTTATTTTTAGAATGCTTCCAATTTTTAGACTGAGCTTTATACTGTAAACATAAATGGGAGAAGGAAACTACCTTATTTTCTAAAACACTTAAAACACCCATTTCTTGACAAACAGCAAATTCTTGGTACATGAGTAATGCCAGAAAAGATCCATTCTTGAGGAGAATAGGTAAGTTTTTCCCTCCAATAAAGCAGTGAAATAGAGATGATAGTCTTTTAGTGGGACAGCCCAGTATTTCCTGTGAGCTTTTCATAAAACATTTTCAGCTGTAATAATGGGTCTTTTGTTTGAATAGTTAATATTTGTAAAGTTCTTTGTGTGTGGCATGTGGTAAGTACTATATAAGGGATAATTAGGTAAAAAATAAATTTTTGTCTAAAATGAGTAATCTTTCTCAATTCAGAAAACTGCTAAAGAAACTCGGGTCTCCTAGAGATGCTGGTGCCCACACCTGAGCAAGTACAGGTTCCAGCACACAATGGCATGCAGGCAACTTCCTCTCTGGCTGATCTGTTACATCAAGGAAGGGTGTTCTTGACTTTTAATCCTGAAACTCTAAAATGTTATCATCTTAACCATTTTATCATAAAAAGAAATTAAAACCTGCTGAAAAAAATATCACCCATAATTCTAGCACTCCGGTGATTGTTTTTTAAATAGCTACAATCGCCTCCAACATTTAATATATACAGGCAGACAAAACCTGTTTTTTGAAAGAATACTTTCTTAAAAACATTACATTGATAGTTCTTACTTATTTTTGCATCTTATCTTTACAGTTATTCAAAGTTGAGATGCCATGTTGACCTTTAATCATGCATAGCATCTGCTAGTTAGCATCTCCTAGCTAAAGGGAAATCCCAGACCTTACTCCAAAATCAAAGGACTTGGTCTTTCAAAAGACAAGAAAAATTAGCTCTCTCTTTCTTACTTGTTAAAAAAGTGCTCAATAAATTTACTGAGCACTGCTTTTCAAAGCATTCCCGTAAGTACTCTGAGAGGTGTTAAAGACAAAGTCCTTAACCAAACTAACAGTCTGGAGGAAGAGATGAAAGTCGCCTCACATATGGCTTTTCCCATATGGAAAAGGTATACTGTGAAAGTACATAATTATTAACCCTTACAGAAAATAGGGGGTTATGTGTCAATTTGTTTAAGGTAATGTAGGAGAGAAATAAAATCAAATTTAATTTTTAGAATCGATTCTTCTATTCGTCTATTGAATAAACAAGTAACTCACTTACATGCCACCAATCACCTGAACAGAGCGTATCTGTGTGTTGAATCCTAGGGATCGGAGGTTAACTGTTTCTGCATTAAGTTCAATCTTTTTTCCTTTGAAGTCTTCTCTTTCAAAAAGAATAATTGTTGGTTCAGAAAATTCCTGTTTAGGAACAAAGATACTGTTCAGTTACTCATCTTTGATAATAACTTGAAATTATGCAAAAATCATCTTGTTCCAAGGATGGAATAGAAGATCTGGCCAGGCTTGGCCCGTCAAACTCCCTTTCCCAGAAAGTCTGGGTGTTAATATACTCCAGAGCTAAAGAGAGGAAGGAGGGAGGGGCAGGAAATTTTCCTGTTGCACTGAGGGCAGGTAAATGTAAGTAGTGTTTTAAAGCTGGCGGGGGTGGGGGAGGGAGCAAGATATCCTAGGCACAAAGAATGGAATGTCAGTTCTTTCAATCTTGCCATTTTCTATTGAGATAAAGAGGGGCTGGGACTGCTATGGACATAAATAGTGAGGGTCAGAGGGCTACTGGAGTCTTTGGCGTCCAGTGGTAACTGTTAATCAGGCAACCTTGAATGCAGTTTCAACTGCCTTTTTTTGTTGTTTTAATTGTCAGTAGACAATGATTTTGTGCACTCATGCTCCCCAACTTTCCTGTAGGAATAATTATTAGGAGAAGAGAAAAAAACAAGATGGAAGCCTGATGTTCAAACTCATTTATTTTCAAATTATAGACCCTCGTGACCTTAAACTAATCTCTAATGATAATAATCCTAAAATCATAAATGATACATCAAAAATTCCCTACCTGCTTAAAGTTTTGTGGCAAGGGTGTGAGACTTACTGTTTCATTTACGTGAATGTGCCCTGACATGTAGGTTTTGTTGGCCAGTAAACAGATTAATGTGTAGAGATGGTTTGTGATACCCGTAAACAAATGAATCTTACCACATCATTCCATGTTTCACTGCTACTATTTTCACATCTCAAGAAAGGTCAACATTTTAATTGAACAGGCAGTAAGGGATGAGATAAAGCTAATTCTTTCTGCCTTTATGTTTAAAGCTTTTTATGAGAGATCAGCTACCAAAAAAATATTTCTCAAACTACAGACATTTAGACTAACGTGAACATTATCTTGCAGTTTTGTTCTACTGAATGTTGCTTTGACTACATCAAAATTAAAGATGTAGTTCAAAAAGGGGCACTGTAATCTGGATTGGCACATACATGGTAAACTGGGAAAAGCCATTTGCCTGCACATCTCTAAAGCAGTAACAGATTTAAAAACTGCATGAAATTTCTGCAATTAATAAAAGATACAAGAAACTAAATAAAGAGCCAAAGGATATAAATAGGCAATTCATTGAACAGAAAACCCAAATGACTATTAAGTATATGAGATACCAACCTAATAGTGAAACACAAATTAACACAACAATGAGAATACTTTCTGCCCAATTCCTTCAAATGGACAAAAATTAGAATGATGTGGGAACCGAGAACACTCATGCACTGCCAGCAAGAATCTGAAGTGGTAGAATTTGGCAGTTCTTAGTGAAACTGCATATTCATGCACACAAAATCTGGCAAATCCACTCTTTAATATACTTGCCTGAGACTCTCACACAAGTACGTAGGGATACATGTGAGGATTAAATAAAAAGTATGGTGATGGAATATATATACAATGGAATATTACTCAGCCATAAGAAGAGATGAAATACTGCCATTTGCAACAACTTGGATGGACCTTGAAATAATCATATTAAGCGAAATAAGCCAGACAGAAAAGGTTGAAAATCAGATGATATCACTTAAATGTGGGATATAAACCTAAAAGCAACAAATGAACAGGACAAACAAACAGAAACTCATGGACAATGGACTAGTGGTTACCGGGAGGGCAGGGAGGGAAAAATAAAAAAATGTTAAAATTTTTTTTTAATTAACAAATGTGATAGAATACTTGTACTAATTAGAATCAATAAACTAGAAATACCTACAGCATAATGGACAGCTCTTAAAAATTTTTAATGTAAGTATTGTTATGTTTATAATACAGTGAGAACTATAGCAAAACACTAATAAATCAAAAGCCTAAATACAGATTTTTTGGGAAAACATTTTATAAGAATATCCAAGCTGCATCTCAAACACTTTAGAACAGTGCCTGTAAAGGGGAAAGCAATGGAAATGGGGATCAGGTATGAAATGGAAAAAAAAACAACACAGGAGAGGGACCTTGAACTAACCCATGACGATTGTGTGCCATGATCGACTCAATACTTTACCTGAAAACAGCAAACAAAAAACTTACATGTTAAAGATCAAAAAAGACCGGAAAATTCTGGGATGTAAAGTTCTACTGCAGCTGTTTTGCTGCCTCTGACTTTAAGTCCCGAGTAGGTCTACTTGCAGGTTTCTTGCTCTGACCATCAGCTGTGTGAACTATACATCTTTGTTACACTATAGTCACACTGCCATACTCACCACATCTATAAAACGAAGAGATTTCACGGTTGCTCCAGGCAGGCATCCCATTGCAGAGAGACAAGGATAGTGGCCTTCTTCCAACACATATTGGTTACCAGAGAAATTTTCTCCATCATATACAACCCAGCTACAGTAGGAAAAACCACACACACATGTGCAATATGTGATTTGAGTGATTCCTATTCAAAAAGTCTGACTTTTAGAGGTGGCATGCTATAAAATAAAGATACGCTTATGCTAACAGTGTGTTTCAAAAATATCTGGACATATTTACTGCATTTAATCTTGTGGCAAATATTTTTTCATAATAAGTCAGTTGTTAGCTTTGCATTGGGAAAATAAAACTTCTTTCTCCAGGAAGTTATTCATGTTTTTACCTCTCCAGCTTCCAGCATTCCTTGTCCTCTCATCAGTGTCACCATTCTCCTGGCCAGTGTAGTTTGTCCAGCCCTTGGAGTCCTCTGAATAATACCTCAACCTTCATAGCTAGTCAGTCACCTGGGTCTACTGGTTCCCTCTCAAAATTTCTCTCACATTCCTTTATCCTTGTTTTCAACACCTCTGCACTAGGCCAGGAGTCAAAATACCATAATGACTTAAGTCACTTAGCTTCTCTGGGCCTCAGCATTATTGTAAATGGTGATGCACCATGGTTCACTACAACAGTTGGGCATTTTTGTTTTTGTTTTTTTTTAATACAACAAATGCTTATTGAGGACTAATTGTGTGTCAGGTACTTTTCCATTGCTGGGCTAAAACAAAGTTCCTGCTATTCTGAAGTTTACACTCTAGAGAGCTGAGACAGACAATAAATGAACAACAACAAAAAAATACATGTCCGATAGTAATAATAAAGCAGGGTAGGGGATAAAGAGGAACCTGGACAGAGGTGGAGGTATGCGCTGATAAACTATGAGGCTTAACTGTAAATCTATGTTTGAATGCACAGCCAGTGCTCTTTCCACTTTGCAATGCAAGTGAGATGATGGTGCTGTTTAGACCATAAAGAACTATATGATTAAAGGCACTATTATTATTATTATTATTGGACTTGGTTCCTCATTACAGCTGGCACAGGTTGCTCTAAGGTTTTCCTGACCAAGTTGTCCCTGACCTTGGGCTCTACTGTAAATGTAAAGCTTTTGCAAAACTACTGTTTTCAGCATGGCATTTCTATATTATTGCCTTTCCCGTCTTGCTCAGGGGGAGCCTTCAAGACCTGATCTCACCCTCCCTGTCCAAACTTGCTTCTCCTCTCCCCAGTACAAAGACCTCCCAGCTAGAGAGGGTCGGTACTCCCTGATCAGCATACACACCAGTGTAACCATGCCCTCGCCTAGCATGCAGAATGCCTATTCTATCCACCTGTAAAAAAAAAATCTACCTTGGGAGGTGCCTTAGAGATTATCTAGAGTCCCTTTACAGGTGATGGGACAGTCCTAGAGAGTAGAGAACCTGGCGTGAATCCCATTGCACAATGAGGTGGTGATCTTCAACTTCTCCAGTCCACACTGATCTCCATTATCCTCCGACATCCTGCACTCAGATGCTACAAAGGATACTTTAGCACTACCAGAGGCTTGTATTATTTGGTGGTTTCATATAGTACTAAGCACCTAAAGAGGTCACTAAGTACTTGCCAGTGTGCGAATTCAGTGTCCCTCACCCCTAGTGATAAGGCTCTGTCTGCCAGTCCACTCTACTTACCTGCCTCCTAAGACCCTGCAAGACTTGGTGGAAAATGAATCATCAATTTGACTTGTTGTTTCTTCAAAACTGTGACTGGAACCTTGAAACTGTGGTTCCGAAAACAAGTGAATCTTTGAAAAAGGAAAGAGAAATACATAAAATTATTTTGCAAACACATTATTCAACCTTTGAAATAATGACCCAAACATAACCTGTTAGCTCATTACAGTAAACTGGTATAAATTTTATAAATCCTTTAATTTTCTACTACATTAATGATCAATTAGAAATACTTTGGCTGCACCATTCATGCTTGTTTAATTCTGAGACATCAAAGGATGATTCAACAATAGAGGCAGCTTTCTAAAGAACAACCTGTTGTAACAAGCTATGAGGCATTTTAAAGCTTTATTGTGGCCAAAAGTAATTGTTCATCAGTTCTAACATTTACAAGAAACTATATTTTGGAAATGTAGCATAGTTTTACTCCCTCTCAATGGAAGATACTTGCTGACTGATTAGAATCTTGCACATGCCAATAAAGAAGACTACAGTGGTGTTTGTGCCTCTATAATTATGGCCATCTGAACACATCCATTAAAAAGCCTAAATAACAAATGTAACATTTCAGTTGCTGTAGACAGCATTCAAAGGCTTCACTGAGAGACCATATAAAAGAGATCATATAAAATGTCTAATGCAAACACAGCAAATATGAAAATTCATTTTACTCTATTGCAATAACCACATATATTTGAAACATTTATCTTAGTGTATTAATGTAAACTGATTCAATGTAACAATAAAAAATTCTACTTAAGAGCAGTTTATAGGAAGTGTACAGATATGGGTCAGTGCTATCGAGCATTAAAATTAAATCTAATTTAGAAATACAGTTATACTTTAAGGCATAAAAATAGGTAAACCTAACAAAATGTCATAACTATCTGGTATTTTACACGTAAGTTCAGCTTTTCAATGGAAGGCCGTAATTATAAAAAATTGAATTTTGTTTGTTACCTGATTTCTTCTCCTTGGGCCAGTGAAAGAATCCTAAAAAGTTTTAAAGGGAAGAGAGAAGAAAATGAGTAGAGCATATATCTTGAAAAAGTTTTTTCTTCCAGATTAGCAATTACTATTAAAAACAATCTCAGAATAGCTTCTATAGTGTTAAGTATTACACGTTAAGGGAATCCAAAATTCAGTTAAATATTCTCATACAAAAATATAACTCCTTACCAAACATATGGGTTGAACAGAAGAGATCTTACAATTTTTTCCTCCCCAGTCCTCAAAACTGGTATAAAAGCCTTTATCCAGTATATACTGTTCTCCTGTGAAGTCAGGATTTTCATAGGCTACCCATCTAAAGAAACAAAAACAGTGACTTGTTATAGTTCATAGTTTACATATACAGTAAAACTAACACACACATTTGGGTAACTGTATCATATAGAAACTTTGTTTTACTAATCAGTAATCTTTATTTTTCTGATTCTCCATAAATCTTTTAGGAACAAACAGGTTTGTCTGGATGACAAAGTGGTAAATGAAAGAGTATCTTTAAGTGAACTTTTTGGTGTTCTCACTTATTCCATCCTATACCTTGAGAAAGCTTCCATGGAGATATTTGTGTATATTTTTTTTCTAATTCTATTCTAAGGAAACAATTTAGACTTTCAAAAAGTACCTGTAAAAGTTCTTTTAGTGGGCAAGTAAGAATTATTTTAGCATTAAAATATTTTTCCAGAAAGACATTACAGGAAGCTGTCTCTATTACACAAAAATTGACAGAAGAAATGCTTAAAAATAAAAAATGAAAAAACCCCAGCTAAGTATCTAAAATTTTGTTATGGATTTCCAACATGATATGCCTACATAATAAGCAAAATTGAACAAACTCTCAGAAATACTAAAAATAAATCTCTTTGGAATGTTTTCACTATCTTTTTAAGTGTAAAATCAACAAAACCAACATATTGGATGCTATTTCCTATCCAAAGATAAAGTCTTTGAGGGGAGGAAAGTTTTTCAGTTCTGTTATAATCAAGAGATAACTCAGTGTCTCAATTCATTGCCCTGCTCTCTCACAGCTCAAAGGAATAATGCCTTTATGCCTCTATGCATACTGAGAACTTTACAAAATGCTTTCATATCTATTATCACATTTAATATTCTAGAGAGGTACTGATTTCCCCATTTTACAGAAGGGAAAACCTAGACACAGAAAACAATTCATTTATTCATTCAACAAACATCGATTAGCCGTTTACCATGCAAAGATGAAAAAAGACAAAATTCTTGCCCTCAAAAGCGTACATGGGAGTAAGAAGTATCACATAAAATTATCTGTTGGTGTGTTCTGAATAGGAACTGACTTGTCTGTCCAAGGTGACACAGCTGGTTAGTGGCCAGGGATGACTGAACGCATGACTGAGTCTCCCGAGGCTCACCAAGGTCTCTTCACTTCATGACCCGAATTGCCACTTGCCCTATAAATTCTCCCTTCAAGTGATACTTGGAATAGTCCACACACTTCATAATTAGAACAGATTATGATTTTACTATTTGAAGAGCTTGACTTAAAAACTCAAGTAGAGTCATTACTAGGAAATGAACAGCCATCAAGAAGAAAAAGAACACTGCAAAAATCTCAAGTGAAGTAGCTTACGACTGCTAACATCTGTACACTCACTCCTGGCTGTTTGAACAGAGAAATTACTATAAGCACCAGTTGGTCTCTTCCAGAAAATAATGCTCCCGCGCTTCAGAACTTCATTAGCAACTTAAAAAAACCTATTCTTTAAATTGTGAGGTGAGGAATGAGGAGACCTGGTTCTAGCTGTGGTCACGACATTAACTTTCAGATAACTTTGAAGAGGTCACTTAACCTTAGCGAAAGTTTGTATTTTCATTTAAAAGTGGGTCGGCCCAGGTGCCAGTGCTGCCATCATATGAGGTTGTACCGCCTTCAGTACCTGTGTGTTTTACCTCTGCTCACACAGCCTTTGGCTATGAAGAGAAGCGAAAGCAGGACAGGAGCATGGAACATTTACTATGTGGAGAGGAATATCTGCATAACAAGAAAATCTACTTTACAAAAACCAGGACTTAAAAATAAAAAACAGAGGTCTACGGCCATGCCACCCTGAACGTGCCCGATCTCGTCTGATCTGGGAAGCTAAGCAGGATCAGGCCTGGTTAGTACTTGGATGGGAGACCACCTAGAAATACCAGGTGCTGTAGGCATAAAAAAAAAATAAAAAATAGGTAAATAAAATTAAAAAAAAAGAAATTATGCTAAAAATAAAAAAGAGGACAAGCTATACCACAAAAGAGCATTCCTGGCAGGACTCTAGATCTATCACGGAGTTTACAGAGAACAGAGGGTTGGTTAAAAGGCCTTTTTGCTTGATTGACTTCAAGGTTTGGAAGAGAAAAAGACTGTGAGAAGGAGAGACTGAATACACAGGAGAGAAGGCAACAAGTGAGCAAGCCATGGAGGAAGCTTTAGTACTTTTTTTTTTTACTAACGAGTGTGAGTACTCTTATTTTCCTATAAAACAAATCACTTGTAAGAAAATACCCAATACCCAAGTAAGCCTACCTAATTCACTGAAGTTGAAACAGGAAAACCATTTAAGATTTTACTTGAATTGACATTAGTGTTGTTTTCTTTCTAAGATGCAGCCCCAGATGAATCACCCATGAATATGAGGGTAAAAAACCCCCCAAAACTCAGATCTGAGCATCTCTGACATATATATATGATCTATAGTCTACTTATAACTTATACTTGAGTATCTTAAAAAGAAAATTACTGACCTTGTTTAAACATATTCTGTACATGTGAACCAACCCTTTTCTGTTTACAAGATTGGCAGGGATTGTGGGGGGAGAGAGGCAAGTATAAGTACAAGCAGGTCCCAGCCTGGTAGAATCCTGACTCAGAATTTAAGGGCAGCAGGACTAACAAGCCTTTCTGGGGAGGGGAAGAGGAAAAAGTTTAAAACAATAGGACTTGTTTTTTGTTTTGTTTTGTTTTTTTATTTTGTATTTTAAGCTGGACTCAAGAAATATTTCATTTTTCTCTTAGTTTTTTTAAAAAATGTGCCCAGTTTCTACCATTTAAGTAAGGGCATAGCATAGAACTAGAATTGATTAGCAGGGCTGTGTAAATTTCTTGTAATGTTACATTAAGAAACGGAATGCAGTTCCTAAAACCTCTATTAGATTCATGAGCATCTTTCCAGAAGGCTGGTCTCTTTTTCAGAGCTCGTAGTTAGTTTACCACCCAGGGCATTTATTGCCCAAGTGATAGTGAACCTCTTGGGATACTCTCACAGACCAAGAACCTCAAAAAATTTTTTTTCTGACTTTGATTTCCACACCAAGAAATAAAGACCCAAACTAAAATGCTTATTTACCAATAAGAATAAAGTCGTTAAAATTATTTTTCTTTGAAACTATTAAAAATGAATAGGTTAGTCTTCCTCCCTCAAATCTTGGCACAGTTCGACCCTTCCTGTCCCACAGGGCCCAACTGCAGTGCCAGCTCGTCCAGAGTCTTCTCTGTGTTCGAACTGGAAAATAATCCCTCTGCTGTGGATTTCTGAAGCACTATGACTTTTGTAGCAATAATTATGTAATATATATATATAATAATATATATATAATAACACATACATACATAATAACATACACACACACACACACACATACATACAGACTTTGAGGACGTAAAATAATGCTTTGCACATAACATCTCAATAAACATTTGTAAAATGAAATATGAGGAAGCGGCTGGCCCTAGTAAAAACAGAAGCCTTTCCACAGCCACAGAATTTGAAAGGAAGTGGTGAAATGGGCGCGTACGCACACCTCCTTTAAACTTCCCCCAGTATCAAAACTCAACTGCTACAACCAGAAAAAAGCCTAAGCCAGGAAATGCTACTAGAAATAACTAAAAATAGAAACATATAAAAGCAACATTTTATGAAGGAAACTGATTTCAAATAAACAAGGGCTGGGCAAAAAAGAAAGACTGGCTCTGGGTACAATAATTCTGCCTGTGCTTACAACATAATCTACACAAATGCCCTAAGGAAATTCTGCCCAGCATCCTTTTGCTTCCTCTTCGGGGGTGCATGACTGCGCTAACAGAGCCAACACATCTGGTGAGCATCAAAATGTACAGCTGTTTCCCCAGATCGACTTGGTCAATGTATTTTCCTTCCAAATAATTACCTTTAAAGGCAAGCTAAAATACGATAGAGCCACAACAACACTTCAGATGATTTCTGCCATACCATACCTTTTATCTACGGCAGATTCTAAAATGTTAGGGCTCCAGAACAGGACCCAGTAGAAGATATTTCTTGTTAAGAATAAAAGACCCAGAAGTCTCTAATGTCATTCTGCCAAGACAGCATACACAAGAATTTGGTGAACATGACTAATAGTAAAAGCATATTACATTGTAGACACATCTCAAATATCCAGGGCTACTGTGGGAGGCCCCATGAAATACAATAGTTGAGGTTAGAATGATTCAAATAGCCTATGTTACTACTCATGGCATAAAACCTAATATCAAACACTTTCAACAAAACCAATGTCAAATGATTTCATATAACCATTTAAGAATACTCTTACCTATAACAAATTACAACTGACATCAGCCTGGATCATAAGAATAACTGTATAACTCCCTCTAATAGACATCTCTTTTTGCCCATCTGGTATCTGTCCCCATTCTTTCTGATGTTCTTTGGAAACTACTCACTCCAATCACATATAGGTGGCTCCCATAGGACTGACCCTATATCTCAGCTCCAGGGATGGGCACATAAGGCAGGCATGGCCATCTCCTTGGCTACAGTGATTGATTTTGGCAGGTGCACAAGACTTAAGCCTACAGAATCAAAGTCAAACCCAGAACTCTTGTGGGAAAGAGAACCTCTTCTCACTGGAAGTAGTGAGACAGAAGAACAAAAGCCAAATGATACTGCCACAGGCCATCAGCGAAAGGGGCCTGTCTAAAGTGAAGCCAACACAGAAAAAAGCCAAGTCGAGTGATAGAAGCCAGTTCTCATGACAGTGACTGAACCCCTGTATCTAGCCATGACTGAGCAAAATATTCTCCAAGACTTTTCAGTTATGGAGGCCAATAAATTCCATTTTTATCACTTAACGCCAATTTAGGTCGCCTTGCAGTCACTTGCATCCCAAAGAGTTTTGACTAATCATCTTTCAATAAAAACTTAGTTTAACATTAATAAAACATTCGATTGCTAACTCCAGGTACACTGAAACAATTATTTTTATGTCAAAATAATAGTAAAGAAATGTAATGAAGCTGGTGGAGCACCACAGGAAAACGGAATAGGACTTTGTCCCAACCTCAGGTTTCTCGTTAAATCACTATTATTTGATTCTCATTATAAGACATTCATGAGCTGTTTCCATGCAGAACGACAACAGAAGTGGATCTGTAGATTTCTCCCATAAAACCCCAAACCCTACTCCAGTGTTATAGTACACATGAAAAAAGATGATCTGAGAAAGATTTTAAAAAGTGGTTATGGAAGTATTGTAGCAGTAGGTATTAAATGACTGATTTAATGTTTAGTTGTTGAGCTATTTCTTGAGTGCCTACTCTGTCAGAGAATCTATGAATTTAACACAAACCAAGGTAAAACCCATGTTTAAAATCCCAGTTAGTTCACTCACACTCCACTGAGTACATTAATAGACTGTGTCTTCACTCCATATCCGGTCTCCTTTAAATTGGCAACAATTCCTAATACGTCAATACTGGAACCTTTGGGTCCAAAGTTTTTTTCGCTGTACATTATCATGTGAGCATGTGAAAAATCCTATTGAGAAGAAAAAAATCAAAATTCAAAGGCTAGCCATTTATTATCCCCAAAAGATCAAATATTAGCTATTAGCTTTTCTTTAACTTACACCTAATATAGGCCGTAAAGACTGAAGTTCTCCATTGTAGCCTCCCCAATCTTTCCAGTCCTTGTATTCTCCTTCTTCAAGCAAATACTGATGACCTGTAAATCCAGACTTTTCATAAGCAACCCAACTGCAACAGAAAGAACATGAAGGAGTAGTAATTCTCGTTTTGTTAAAATTTTCTCAATGTACATATCAGTTTCATTGACAAATACGAACGGTTCTAAAATTAGACATGGATTCATGCATTATGACAATAGGAATTCTTCTCTAAAATTTAGGAGACTAACAGAATGGCCTCAAGAAAACAATCTAAGAAGTACATATCAATGTTTTATAAAGGAGTATAGGGGAGTGAGAGTGAGTGTGAGTGAGTGAGTGTGTGTGTGTGTGTGTGTGTGTGTGTGTAATAAGAACTGACTCAAAGAACACCAGCAAATAAAACTGGATAAATTTTCTTTGAATAGTAAATAAAATAGTATGTATTTTTGGCTATTAACAACATTTTCAATGTAGACTTCCAAAGGAAATATGTAAGATCTATAAAGTACAAAATATGATCATAAAAATAGCAAACCAATATTTCAATAGTTTGGAGCATAATATGAATAAACAAGATTGCAGATTTGATCAATCTGGATGGGCCAATTTATTAGCTTTGCTCAGCTGACTGACCCCAAACCAGGCCCTCAAACTGGTATCAAATCCAGGTCACAACCGTTTGGGGAGAACATGTTTAAAATTCACTCTACCATACAATCGGGAATGTTCTTTTGAGGGGAGGAGGAGGAGGCCGTGTTTATTACTTTATTAAAGAGAAAAAAAGGACATTCTTCTAGGTTATGCCTGTCTACTTACATGCCTCTTAGAACTTTCATAGATCCCACTGATGTCAATGGCAAACATTCATCTCCAGTTGTTTCTTCTGTTTCACTTCCTTCCATGACGAAACTATACATTTCTGTTTCTAGTTCCATACTTTTACCTTCAAAGAAAGGCTTTTCATAAATCACTACCTGTAATAGAAATGAGATATACCAGTGATTTTTTAAGAAGTTAAATATCTCAATAGCTAAACATCAAATCAGTCATTTAATATATCACTAAGTCCTGAAACACAAATTAAAATGTTCTCATCATATTTTTAAAAAGTCACTAAATAACAGGATCCTATTATTTTAAAAATCAGAATTTTTTTCCTGATATGTATAGCCCAAAGCCAAGGTTTAAAAGATAATTTAGAAATAATTGATTTTTGTTTCAGTGTCTAGAACTGATATTCAGTATTTTGCTTAGGTCAAACTAAAGAACCAGAGTTGCTTTAAAATGAAAAAGTATAGATCAAGCTCTGTGTTACAGATGTCTGAAGCAGAGCGTTTTGGAGTAGGGAGAACTTGTCTTGAAAGAAAGTTTTTTCCTAGCTAACTGGCAAGCAGCAATAGGCCCTGCAATTAGTAAACACAACTACAAATTATAAATGTAATACAACAATGAACCTTTTGAGCATCGCTACACATGCTGTTAGTGATAACTAGTGCCATCAGCATCATTTTCCAGCCTGAAGGATGGCACGTGTAAGTTGAGACAACTTTCTTTGATAGGAGTAATGTTTTATGGAGGTTGATATGTAAAATCACCCAAGTGGCTTCATAGAGATGGAATGGGAATAAAATTTAAAAAAATAAACATTTTTTTACCTTTGGATCTATAGGGAATTCAACTTTACGGCCACCCTGAAAAGAAAATAACAGTTTAAGAATAATGGTTTTTCACTGATACTTTACCTTTTATATTACACATGGCAGGTTATGGTAAGCCATCGAACCTCAGTGCAATTATATTCTCGTTTGTTTCAATGTACATTGAGACAGTTCTAAAATTACCAACAGTGCAGGTGAAGACATGAAGAAGACAGTTTAGAACATTGACTCACAAAGGTGGTCTATAAACTGAATCTCATTGTTAGGTGTGTTTTTTGACCTGATAAGTTTTAGGGTTTTTTTTTTAATTTAATCGAGTTAAACACACACACACACACACACACACACAAACACGCTTCTAATTTCTCTTAAAAAGCAGTCCCAAGATCTAACATCTCTGGACCCAAATTCTCACAGATAGCAACCTTCATCTTTAGCACTTACTAACTCTGCATTGGGCTCATCCTCCAGCCAGGACACAGACTCTGGTTTGCCTGTCTCTACCCTTCCTTGGTACAACTCCCAGACAGCCTCGCTCATGTCTGTTTGCTGCCTGGCCTCCAGAGGCATTTGATTTTGCAACCAATGGCTTACAAACATGTTGAAGCACACCCAAGTTCACAACATGATCTAGAGAGACTCTTGAAATAATTAGAAAAACTGTTAGATAAAATTTAAAAGATCCCAAAGGATGGGTCTGTGGGGTTTCCATACTTTTATAATAAAAACTTCTTTGTAAATTCCCAAAAACTCACTAAAGATAGACCATAGAAAAGGTATTACATTAGAATATTAAACGGGGTAAGAGTTAAAATCAGCAGTGGGAAAATTAGAAGGATATTTTTTACCAACATATACTTAACAGTTTTAAATAAGTGCAGCCAAAGATGCCGAGATGCACCAAATGAACTGTAATCACAAAGGAATGTGGCTGATTTTGTGAACAAAACAGAGCTTATACAACCAAGTAACTACCCTTTTCAAAAGAAATCCATTTCGAATGCCATAAACTTCAGTTTTGTAAGTTATCATTAAAAACTGCCTTTTAAACTGGGGGCTATTCTTTGATGCATTCACAAAACTCACAAAACTTTGTTCTTTGAAAGTGGATTTAACTTTAGAAAAATGCCCCAAATTGTTTGCATAAAGACCAGCAAACATGCAGGTTAGTAAACCACAGGCTTTGGCAGGAAGGATCACCTTCCTCACTTTCTCATTTATTTCAAACTGACTCAGAAGACAACCACAAAGTGGGATTTCAAAAACATGTTTGTAATCAGAGCTTCACTCATGCCATGGTATTTAGTGAACACCTACCATGATGAGCACATACTGTGCTCAATACGGAAGACAAGACAGATGCAGCCTGGATCCTCCCAAGGCTTAGAGTTTGGCAGAAAAAAAAAAAAACAAAAACAAGGCAAAACACAGGGGTAGCACAGAGGAAGCACAGGTGCATATATAGACAGCCAGCCCTGGTACCCCCAAATCTGCCACCCAGCCCCCTGTCAATCACTACAACTGGGCTGGTCCAGAGCATGTCCTGCTGTCCCAGCTTCACCGTGGCTCATGCAGTGCATTCCCTGACATCTCCATCCAAAATCACCCTGCTTGGTTTTTAAGACCCAACTTGATTTATCCTGAAGCTCTCCTAAGTATCCCCTTCTCTGTCACATCACTCCCAAGTTGGACTTTGTCCTTCCTCCTGTTTCCCACAAATGGTTAATTCTTCATTTCTTATACCTGCCCTGAGCTTAGAATGCCTTAAAGGCAAAAGACTTGAGCTTATCCACATTTTCTCACTTGTAGCGCCTAGCAAGTTATCCTTTCTATTATTTACTACATATTTGTTTCTAAAAAGTTTACTTTATTGCTTCAAAGTCGCATCCTAAGGATTATCGACGTGAGGCTGGCAAAGAATTACTGACTCCAAGAATACTTTGTTGGATTTCATTTTTACCATTTTCAGAGGCCGCATGGATCCAATGTATGCTGCTTCTGTATTCCAGAAGGATAAGTCAGGGTATTCACCAGGTTCCAGGATAAAAGGAACACCCTGAAATCCAGGTTCTTCATAAATCAGCCATCTAAATAAGCACCAAGGAAGGAAAGAAACAATTTGTCATTTGTGTTTAGTGGTACACAGGACCTCACTAACGAGCAAGGAAAAGAACAGGAGAAGATGTGGATCTGGACGATGCACAGTTATACTGAGGTATTAATGTTAGACTCAAGGAGGAAAAAGCCATTCATTACATGTGCCTCTTCTTAAGAGTCTTTGGCTTGTTTCCTTGGCTGGCTTTGTCCACTAATTTTAATTTATATTATTAATTGCTTCCAAGTTGTAAAGGTCTCTATTACTTTCAAATAATAAAAGTACAACTGATCCTTGAACAACATGGGTTTGAAGCCCACCTATAAGTGGATCCATGCAGTTCAAACCCATATTGTTCAAGTGTCAACTGCAGTTCTCTTGCACTGTGTGTATTTACAGAGGCCCTAGCTAGGAAATCTCAAGCTTTATTTTAAAAGGCAACATCTCGTTTGTAACCAAAGAATAGGATGTTCTACCTACTTGTTTATCACAGTGTCAGAAATTAATAACAGCTAACATCCACCTAGAGCTTAACAAGGAATGCCACTCAGAGTTTCATCCAATCCTCACAACAATGCTATGAAGAAGGAATGCCTCCGTCCCTATTTTACAGATGAGGTTAAGTAAATTGCCTAGGGCCACACAGCTGCAGGTACCAAATACAGAGCTGATTCAAGCCGACTCTAGAGCCAGGCTCCTAATCATGTTCTGATGGCAATTTTTCTCATTCCAGGAGTACACACAATCTCCTCTTTTCACAATGGCTCAGGATGACATTGTGAACATGACAATGCACAGTGTCGTTCTCGGAGGCTCTGAAGGTCTGTAAGGCTGGCTGCTCCCAGGCCCCAAAGCTTTCTGAGTTCTTGGAACTGATTTTAATGGCTTATTTTAATACCACACCCTTTTATCAGGCTTGTCAGCTGTCACTTCTGCTGTGGTCAGGAAACCAGCAGCCCCACCCTCCCCTAATGTGCTAGAAACCAAGAAACCAGAAAATCATGCCAGTTAGAACAGCCTCTGAAGGCTATGCAAAGTCTTGTCAATTTCCTGGTTCCTGGGAAGGTTCTGGAAAGGTGACGTTGCTGGAGAAGTGACTTTTATATAAGTGAGGTGTTATATACCCTCTTCATAAACAAATATATAATTCTTTGTGATCACTTCTACTCTTCAGTCCTTTGTTAGCCCTGCTAGTGTCCTGGCTGGGGCACTGCACCATGTTCCCCAGAACACCATGCCAAAGAGAGGACAGTTGTAAATGAGATCTCTTACCAGCAAAATGGGTCTGATTCCCCCTTTTTGCTTTTCTCTTGCTCTAAAATTTGGCCCAAGTGCATATTTTGGTGATGGTTCTTCTTAAAAAAAATTCCCTGGATAAATCAGTAACTTCTTTAGACTCATTATATAGGGATTTACAATCAAAATCCTATGAATCTTGTCCACACACACACACAAATATTGAGAGGCTGTGTGTGGTGTATGTGTGAGATCAAAATGAATCCACAGTGTTAGAAGTCAGGATAATAGTTATAGTGGGAGCAAGTGAATGCCCAGGAAGAAGCATGAACAAGGGAGACTTCTGAAATACTGGTTATGTTCTATTTCTTGATCTGGGTGATGGTTACACTGCAAATTCACTCAGTTTTTATGCTTACAATTTCTTGTGCACCTTTGTGTACAAACTTAAATATACTTCAATAATAATAATTAAAAAAAAAAAAACTAAAGAAAAAAAAAGAGGCTTATCTTTTAAATACCACTGCCATGCCCTGAAACCACAATAAAACAGAGGCTAAGAGTGGGGACCTTTAAAACCTCCTAATGTTTAAAGCCTGACAATTAGGGTGCATCGCATATTTTTTTGGAGCTCAGGGCTCTCCCAGGCACACCACACATTTCATGACCTGAGTAAATAATGGCAGTTCGCCATAAATTGTGCTATTATGCTAACAAGCCAAGAGCTTCGAAGTCTGACTCTTCACAAGTGAATGGGCTGAATTTTTCATAAATACAATGGATGGTTCATAAACAATCCTGATCTAAGATTTTGAAATGCTGCTGGCTGAAGTACCAGTGCATTAAATCGTTTCTTTTATAGTCTATTCTGAGATTTACTCATCTGATACTAAACATTTCACTTTCCTTGAAGTATGTGATTTACTTACTAACATTTAGTAAGTAAACTTAACTAAATGTCACCTAACATTTATAAAAGCAAGGTCATTTTAGGTAAAGGGGACTTCATTAAAAAACTGAATACTAAACTGATACACATGAAAAGGCTGCTGTTCTGAGACTACTTCCTTGGTGGGTAAGTGCTAAGGGCCTGCTGGGGAACTCACAGAAATTTCTGAATGTTGGGTGGACTTTGGAATTTGAAAACTCATACAGGGCATGATTCATTTTTCCTAAATTCTATTCCAACAAGATAGTGATTCATTTTTCTTAAATTCTATTCCAACAAGATGCATTATTCATGAGACCATCAGGAGAAGGGGAAAGTACTTCGGGCAGTGTTATTTCAGTTTCTAGAGGTATACTTTTATTTTCTATGTACTTAGGTAATGAGTTTTTGCCTATATTATGAATATGAGCTTTTTAAAAAAAATGTATGCATACAAATGAATATTATTGAAGTAATAACAATGTCCATCTATACATTTATTAAAAGCATGTGCATAATGACTCTTAGAAATACCCTTTGAGTCACACAAGAAAAATTGGTCTTGTTCATTTGTACTTAAGCCAAAAACAGTATTTCCAGTTGGTTCCTGTCTTATTCTCTAGACATGGGTACACATGAATGTTGACTATTTACAGAAACCAACTGGATATTCAAAAGAGTAAATATAAATGTACCAACTTTGAAGTTAAAAGAGGGTAAGCTATGAATCTCAAAGGGGGAAACATACCCTTATGATGGCGAGAGGTGGTTAATTGCACCAACTTAACCAAGCAACCCAACTTGGTATCGTTAATGGGGAGCTGGTGAGCACATATGCCACCTTTCGTAACACGACATGAATATGTGACAGTATCTACATGAAGTATCCTTTCCAGAACTGTTCCTTATGCATCTGATCATACCTCCAGACCTAACCTCTAATACAGAAAATTCAGGAGACAGAGGAACAAGTTAGATGGCACCATGGAGAAGCACGCAAAGACAAATCCAGAAAGTGGCATATTCTCTAAGACAGTTGACCTAAGGTCTTCAAAAAGTCAGTGGCATGGGAAACAAAGATTAGGATACTTTAGAGATCAAAGGAGACTTAAAGAAACAGAACAACCATATATATATACATATATATATATAATTATCATTATTATTATTTTTAATCCATGAAAGACATTCCTGAGACTGGGGAAGATTTGATTAGGGGCTATAGATTCGGTATTATCGTGGACATGTTGTTAATTTTCTTAGGTGTGATAATGATAGTTATACAGCAGAATGTCATTATAGATTCTGGCTGAAGTATACAGGAATAAAAGGTCACGATATCTGCAACTTGCTTTCAAGTGCTCAGAAAAAAAATAAAGCAAATGGAGCAAAATGTTAACAATTATTGAATAATCTAAATGGAGGGTAAATGGATGTTCACTGAACTATGTCTACTTTTGTGTATGCCTGGAAACTTTTGTAATAAAATGTTGGGCTCTGATATAGTATACTCCACAAAAAAATACACACAGTGAATATTACATAGTAATAAAACACAGATTACAAAGTTCAAAAGCAAGTACAACTAAAACATTGTAGGAGCAGATACTATAGGGTGAAATTGTAAAATAAGGGTATAAGAAAAACACAAAATTCCAGAGCAAGGTTATGTGTGTGGAGAGGAGTTGGGGGGATGGGACCAAGGTGGGCCACACAGTGATGCGTTGGTGTTGGCGATGGTGAGGGCCTAAGTTGGGTGGTAGGCACGCGCAGGTTTGTTGTATTACTAGGCTTCATAATGCACACATATTCTTCTGTATGATCAATTATTTCAAAACAAAATTCATCAAAGAATATTTGGCTATTAAAAAAAGAAGTCCCTTCCCCATAAGCATTCTAGTACTTATTCTGCTAACTAATCCTAGCCGTGAGAAAATAACCAAAGCTTGTCTTCCTTATTTAAACAATGCTCTTTAGGCTTCCTTTGAAGTTCTAAAATTATTTGTTTTTATTTATTAGAAATATACCCCCCAAATAGATATACCCTCCCCTCTGGGAGTATGGCTGCTGGCATTAGCCAGCTATTAAAACAAAGGTTGAAAAACAGATGATACTTAACAGAATATGAAAGGAAAATTTACCTAGAAATTAATTCATTTTCCAAAATAAAAATTTGACAAGTAATGCCCTTATTTTACGTATATATAGAAGAGTCTAATCCAGAGTGAATAGCCCTGGAATAAATCTCTTAATGAAATCTTAAAAAGTCACTCACACAGCAAAGACCTCTCTTATACCAGTTTAGGGGACTGGTGCAGCAAAAGGAGCAAAATGAGCTCAGGGCCATCTCATTAGCTGAATTCTCCCACACCAACCGGACTTCCCTTGGAGATCTGTAAAAGTACGAATGACCTGGTCCCAAAGCTGACCAAGCAAGTTCATTGAGTCCAAACTTTGAACTGACATTCAAGGCAGCTTTCTATTTATTCTCCTAGAGGCAACAGAAATAAACAGCCCAAAGAAAGATGTCCAAGCTATGCAAGCCCATCGTAAACTGAAAACTATGACAGGTGTGTAACTACCACCTACAAGACAAGTTAAACTTACCATAAAGGTAAGAAACATTAAATGTAGCTCGTTATGCTTCCACATAGCCCAAGCCTGAGTCATGAAACCTTACAGAAACTGAGATTAAAATATTACCACAGACACCTATTTCATTCTTTTCTAAGGAAAGTGTATTTCTCAACATTAATACTTTGAGAAAAAAAGATCTATAGAGCTCATTTATGTGAAAAAATTAAAGGCAGCAAGAGAGGAAGACATGTTATTCTTCTGTTTAGAGTCTTCCTTTTCTTCCTTATCGCTAAATATGAAAGTGCCCAAAGCTCAGATGGCTTCTGTTCTTTATACTCTGTCCCTTTGAGATCTCATCTGGCACATGGTTTAAATACCTTCTCCACACTGATGACTCCTAAATTTATGCCTCTAGCCTCCCTCCAGAACTCCACCCTCACACATCCAGTCTCCCTCCTGACCTGATTTGAACGGACAGTTGGCATGTCCACCTTTACCTCTCTAAAACTGAACTCTTGAAATTTCACTCTCCCTCCTAACCTGCTCCTCCAAGTTTTCTCCATCCATATAAATGCTGGGGTCCCAAGCACTGGACGTTTCTCAGCCCCTCACACCCCACATAAAATCTGCTATCAAATGTTGTCAGTTCTCCTTTCAAAATGAATCCAGAATCTGACCATTTCTCACCAGCACTGTCATGCTAAGCCACCAAAACTTCTTGTCTGTATAGCTGCACTTGCTTCCTAACTGGTTTCTTGGTTTCCACCCTTGACTCTTTACAGGCTATTTTCTTCATAGCAGCTGGAGTGATCTTTCTACAACACAAGTTAGGTCAGAGTCCTCCAATGATTACTTGTATCACGTCAAGTAAACTAAAACCCTTCCCAAAGCCTAAAAGGCTTGATATAACACAAGGCCTCTCTCCCATCAGTGTTCTCCTAGCTCACTCCAGCCACCTGGCCCTCCTAGCTGTTCTCCAAACATGCCCAACATGTTTGTGCTTCCTGCCTAGGCCACGCACCATGCTCTTCCTCCCTCAGGTATCCCCAGGCCCGACTACCACTTCTTCCAGGTGTCTGCTTAAATGTTGCTAAAGACCTTTCCTGACCACCCTATCTAAAACAGTACTACCACTGTCTCTATAATTTATGTTTCTTGTAGTTATCATGTGGCACATTACATAGGTATGCATATCCATCCCATTGATAAAAACTTTTGAGCACTCTCTGAATGTATGAATATTTATAAATTATATATTACCACCAAAAATATTATAAATTTATTACAAAACATATGCAAAAAATAAAACCTTGAAAAGAGATTTTAAACAAAATATAAAGATGCTTTAGCGTTTTTCCCTGTATCTCTCGGTGGATGTCTTCACGTGCCCTGTGCTGTGCACTCCACTTTAGAGACCTCAGTGTGGGAGCCTACACTTCCTATCCTAATTTCTTCCCTATCTGAGACATTCTCATTTCCTTCAAAATACTCCTGCAGTTTCCTGTGATTTGTGAAACCAACATCTTAGGGGCTTTGAACAGCATTGTGTGAAAATGTTAAAGGAAGTGCCATGTGTGTTGGTCTCTATCTGCATGAAATATCAAAGGCACATGCTTTGAATTATCTTTCGGATTACCATGAAGGTAAAATCTCTTAGCTTTGAATGAACCAGGTTCCTTTGTGATAAGGAAATCCCTACATTAAAAATGCATTTCCCACCTCTGCATTTCCTCCAAGAAATTGTTATTGTTTGTAAGAGCTGAATCATAGTAATACAGGTACAAAAGAATCAGAATTTTATGTGCCTTATAAAAAAAACTGTTTTGGTTAATAGTTACTTAACAAGACAACAAATCAGAGATAGAATATCTTAAGTTTTTTCAGTACTACACTTAAAAAACTTCATTAAAAATATATGTTAAATAAAATACTTACGTGCCCCAATGTACTCTAATGGAACAGGTCTTCTGCATTATACCAAACCCCTGCATTTCTTCAGTATCATCAAAGTAGGAACTTAGGATTCCTAACCCTTCTGGTTCAGTATATAAGTCAATATGACTAACTCTGTAATCCTGAAAAAAAAAAAAACAACCACATTTGTACATATATAATAATTACAGCATGTATGTAAATCTACGGTAAGCTCATTATTTTTTCAAATAATTAAAATAAGACTTAATATATACATACATATCACAGAACACCTGCCATTTTATTCCTTTCCTGTTTTCGTCAATGAATGAATAATATGTGGCTTTTTGGGGCAGACACATTGCTTTAGGCATATATCTGAGTGTTAACATTCAAGCAAAGAGCACCAGAAATGTATAAGAGTTTTGGAACATATTTCTCTCCTCCTCCCTGAGAAAACAGCTTGGCTTTCCTTGGTGATAGGAGTTAGGGTTCCTTTGCTCTGATACGACCGTCCAAGTGCAGACGCTCTAGTCTGTAGGGTGGTTGCACCACAGTCTTCCTCAACTTTTGTTCTGTGCCCATAAACCCTGTGCTAACTCTCCTTGACTATGACCAATCTCAGTGATGTTGCTTTGACTTAAGTCATTAACACAAAGGCACACGTTAATGGTGATTTATAAATCTCTGCATTTTGGTCACTTTCCTGCATGTCCATGGTTCATCACTCTTCAAAAGGCCTCTCCTGGCCAAGTGCCTAAGCGTTAATCGAATCTTTATTGATATTTGATTGCTGAGCTAGGTGAACTCAGGTACGGAAGAAATGATAACACTTGGGTTAGTTCAGGGGAGGCTCTTCCAAACATTATCAAAAGGAACAAATTTAATGAGATAAAAAGGTGACTTCCTTGAATATATGCTGTGACTTAGTTTGTGCTTCAAGAAACCACATACACAATCTGTATTTTTTAAAACATCCTGATGTACCAAGAGCCATAAAAGTGTTCCTGCCCTTTCAGAAAAATTCACCCCAAGGAAATAAATCAGAAAGTTATGAACTATTAAGTGCACAAAAATGTTCATGCAGCATTATTTAACATAGTAAAAAACTAGAAACAACCTTAAGCTCCTTGGAAAGTAGAAAGGTAAAATAAATGATGGCACACCATTTCGATGGAAACCCCAAAGCATGTAGTGACAAGAGAAGCATTAACTGCATCAAGTCTGCCATTATCAGGCAAAACAGGAGGCCTCTTCACCAGTGTGCTTCATTTCCTTTACCCCACCTTGCAGAATGCAGCTAAACCCCCACCCCACCAGATTTGGATACCTCCCCCTGTAATTTGAAATCACTGAGAGACGTTACGAGTGAGTGTGATCTTCAGGAAAATAGTATGGAAAGAGAAAAAGGATTGAGAACCAGTTTTAAGTGGAAAAATGACAGCTTTATACCTATATTATAACTACAGAACAATCCAGATTAGAATATGGCCAAGATAGAATAGAGAATCCAGAAGAATGAAGGGAGGATACTTCAAGATGGTGAGATTTGGATATTTTTAACATTGCTTTGTTACTAATATTATTTGAGCAGTAAACAAAAGCTGCAGGTAAATCATTCCACTAACTATGACATTTTTAAATAGGGTTCCTTGTGCCTTTCTTAAGGCTTATCATATTATGCACTTACATAAAAACTCTTATTCTTACTCAGTCTCATTTTAGAACATTCCTTTTCTCCCTATTGTACCCCAATGTTGATCTCTATTACACAAATGGGGTTTTAATTTTCCACTTGGCAGACACCATTAATTACATTTTTGAAAGGTAAAGAATCATCAAATCCCAACAGCCACAATGAAAGACTCTGATACAACTTTCTCATCAATAAATAAGAAACCAAGGAAATTTTACTCAATCCATAAAGTGGCCTCAAATACCTGTTTTTTTTTAAATCCACATGAAACCCCAGAGTTGAACTGTCAACTGAATTATTTTTGGATTATTTATTTTTCCAAAATAGAATTCTTATACACCACTCAAGGTAATCAGAACTCACACAGTAACCCCCCCCCAAAAAAAACCCCACAAAAACAAACAAAAATTGAAATAAAAATCTGTTCATACAGAACTCATCAAAACTAGTTTATTAATAAAATACGTTTGGAGAAGGGGTGGGGGGTGGCCAGGAATGAGAAATTAACCTTCAAGATTTATCGTGGGAAAAAAATGAATAACCAATGATAACGTTTCTTTTCTAATTCATTTGAAGTGCACAAATACTTATAGAAAATATATCTATAAAGCACCAATCGAATATTTTTCCCAGTTGCTTACTTTATAAAATGAACTTTTCCCTCAAAGTAAGAATCATCCTTGGCATTCAATAAATATTTTCAAATAAATGGATGGATTCTGGTTTTCCCATAACCTACCTGGACCACATGTCTGATTGAACCAATTGTCACGGGCTTAGCAGACTCTGCCTCCTCGTTTTTTTCCAAAATATCTTCCATACCCCAGAGGCCAGCGAGTTCCAATTCTCCTTCTTCTAAAGAGATGGAGTGCCCTTCAAAATTTGGCTTCTCGTACAAAATCCAACTAAGATTAAAACACAGCAAAACTATTAGCCAGTCTTGGTGAGAGAGGTTTATATTACTCAAACATTCTGGCTAATAGCCACCATATATATGTCATATATCATGGCCAATTCCCTAACACTATGTATAAATTCTCCCTAAAACTAAAATTGACTAGGATAATTAAGCCTCTGATAATTCAAGAACTGCATCAGGATCTTAGAGGACTTTTACTATCAATGTGAACATTATAGAGATACCGGTGTTCTAGAGAATTGTCATTTTTAATGGAGACTTGTAAACAATAATACATCAGATAATGGACTTTTACTGTAATATATTTTCTCTTTATATGTGTAGAAAACTTCTCTTAGAGGGATTTAAACTTACATTTAGAGCCATATATCAGTGGATATATTGATACAAAGGACTATAAGCATATTAATGAAAAGCATTTAAAATGTATCTTTCCCAACAACACCCAAACACTAAAGAAAAACCTCATGTTAATATATGACAATGCTGCTCTTAAATGCCTAAGGTTTCAAAAAAAGAGAGAAGCCAACAATTTTGCAAAAGAAAAGCGTGATTCTATTAAGAAAATTGTTACAAAAAATTTTTTAGTGTTATTTTTAGTCTTCGAATTTAAGAACAAAAGCTAATTGTATTTTTCTAATGAACATGTTGAATATACAAAAAATATCAAAATATCTAAAACCTAATAGGAAAGATGTTACATATTTAATCAAATGGAGACCAAAAGAAGAGTTTACTAATTTTTTAAATCACAAGTATCTAGAGTCTTATCCTCTTTATTTCAAACAAGTGTATAAATAGGTACCAAAGTATTTATGCCACATAACAATTTTTAAAAAAATGCTTTTAATTCAACTTTGTGTATTTCCTAGAAGCTATTAAGCTAGTAAAATAATTTTTTTCTACCAATTTCTTTACTTAATCAAAACTATCCATTGTTGAACAGTTGGAAAATAAAATTTAGGTTAGTCTTTCACTGAACTGTCATTGAAAAGTTAGCAAAAATGCCTTTTCTTATAGAATTAAAAAAATTCTACCAACATAACTAAGTACAATTCTTATCTACCTCATTGAAAATTCACAAACCAAAAGTATAGTATGGACTCTGATGTTCATTAGTTCAAACCACTGTCATGAGGGGGTATATGGGAAAAGAAACTTATACTGCTACACTTTTCTGATTTTTCTAGCATAAATACATATCACCCCTATAATCAGAAACATGATTAAAAACCGTATTTTTTTATATGAATTCCTTTTAATACTCACCATGACTATTGTTAAAGGCATAATTTTAAATAAGGACAGAAGACCCAAAAAGTAATTTAAAATGGAAAACGTAGGCCCTCTAAGTCAAGAAGTCAAAGTGCCATTCTCACCATCCTCTAACAACTTTTACGAGTATCACAGGAGAGAGACTCCAAGAGCTGCAATCCTCTATGTCACCAAAGACTTCAATACACTCCTCGGAGACATCCGGTTCACTGTAGATCACTACCTACAAGAGGAGAGTAGTAGCATATGTGATTGTACTTTATCAGACCAAAATAAAATCTAGACTAGAAATAGAAAATAATCTTACCTTTCCAGGTCGTGGATTGATTTTATTTTGGACACTTCTTCTAAGCATCTGTAATCAAATGAACAAAACACAACAAATAATTAAACTTTGCATAACAGTCCTCTCTTCTCCTCTCATGATCCTTTAAGTAAGTCACCCCACAATTTAACAATTTTAAAACAAGTCTACTTTGATCTATGCCAAAGTTGTGTTTAAACTTTCTTTGAGTCTATACTGTTAAATTAAAAGCTTCCCCCAGACCCTAACTGAATTTGCCATTTCAGTTTCTCATTTAAATGCCTAGGCTATTTTTACCAATCTAGAAAATTTAGAACTCAAGAGTCAGACCTATGTTTTATGTGAGAATAAGGACTCAGCTAAGAGATTATAATTCAAACAATCTCAGTATAATGTCAAATAAAGAAAAAGAAATTACAGTGTATTAATCACTTATCTAAAATGAGTTGTATCAGTTGCATTTGTTCATACACACACCTACTCTGAATCTATGAAGGCTGTTTTTTCATAGTAACATCTGCCATACCTACTAGTCTAAATAAAAACATGTTTATGGATTATTTCACAATGTACATTGCACATGGTACTTAATCACTCCCTTTTTGATGGACAAAAATTGTTTTTATATGGCTACAAAACTAATCAAGACCATGTGACAAGACCAGTAAAACCAGAAATGCAGAAGATAATAAAAACAGTAATTATACATGTAAAAATATTATAAAACATGGACTACTTTCAGTGCTGACCAGTATGCCTATTCTAAGGACTGCCTTTGATCTCATCACCCTTGCATCATGTCAGAGTGGAATATGCCCAAAAGACCACAGGAAGGCCTCAACAGAGGACTTTTTATAAAAAGTCAATCATTTACTTATTTTTATATATACACATTAGAGGTAGATAAAATGAAGAAAAAGCCTGAGATTTAAAAACAAATTCAGGTAAGACATAGAAGAATAGTTATATGGTCAACAAAGCCCAAAACCTAAAAAAAAAAAAAATTTAATCATAAAAAGGCCTAGAGAAAGTATAAAGCACTTTGTTTCTCCTTTTGCTGCATTTGGCTTGATTTTTCAAGAGATTCCACAGGGAAACTGTATATTCTGTTGTCAGACTCACCAGACTGTTGTCAAATAAGAGAAGTGAACCAAGAATGATTTAAAAGAATAAGGCTGTAATGAACGGGAAGTGGACCGTTGGAAATTTTGTGCTTGAGAGAAATATTTAAAAACTTTATGATATCTGAGAGCTTTAGGCTGATTCAGTTTGTCTACAGTAGTGGTTCCCAAAGTGTGGTCCAGGGACCACTGAGGGTTCCCAAGATCCTTTCAGGGAGCCCATGAAGTCAAAACTACTTTCAAGAAAAAGAGGGTATTTATATTTTGTAATCTTTTTATCTCACAGTGTACTGTGGAATCTTCCAGAGGGCCCATGACGACATTGCTATGATGGCTAACGGCATGTGCGCTTATGTGTTGTGTTTTAAATTTTTCTCACTATTAATTTCTAATGATAAAATCTGATAGGCATAACCGATATGAACAAAAGCTCTCTGCGGTCCTTAATAATTTTTAAATATTATTGTATTCTGAGATCAAAGTTTAACATTTTTTGAAAAGAGGGATCTGAACCTCTGCTGGAAACCCAACTATACATTTTGAAAGAGCTTGGAGAGTTACATTCTATGACAAGCTTGTAGCAAAAGCCAACACAACACATTGAAACAAGTTGCAGTACCTTATACAAATGAGGAAGGGTGCAAGGTATTTTCTGCCTGGTGTTATAGATGATGTTATAGATGATGGTCTCTAGCTGACAGATGGCCTGGTTCACATGGTGGGCAACAGTACTATAAAGGTCCACTCATGTTTCTGGACTAACAGAGCTGACTTTTAAACCTTATATTCTGTTGCTCTTTCATTATCCTCCCTCCACTTGAGAATCAAGCTGGTAACTTGGTAAGAGAAAGGCACAAATTCATATCAAAAACTGAATAAAGAAAACAACTTCAGAAGTCAGAAGAAGATGGAGAAATCATAATTGTTGTTCAAAATCATATTTTGCTGCTCTCTCTACAATATTAAAGGAAGATCCAATGTAGACCAAAATTCGTTACTCAAAGGCTTTTCAGGAAAAAATACTTCCCTGATGAAAACTAACTTTAAATAAAGATACTTTCTCAAATGATGCGAAGGATATACATTTATTGCTACTTATGAGGAGTGAAACTCACAGTGCATTAGAAGGGATTACAAATAAGATTCCTTAGCAGAGGCTTTTCCAAATAAAAGGAAGCTGCTTCATATATCTTCAAAATTCTAGGTACAGTACTGAGCATTTTAGTGCAGAACTAGGTAAAAACCATCTGTCTCTAAACTCTCAAGGTACTTTATATTTCATAATACAACATATTAATTCACACGTGCCTTAAAATATTGGTAGCTTATTTTCCCTGCTAGACTACACATATTTTGAGAACAGAATCTGAGTACCTTTTTCTTAGACCTTAACAGTCCCTTGCACATAGGTTTTCAAATATATGAATAGAAAACAATCGTACACAAGCATAACCATTTCTAAAAGAATAACATTAATTGCTCATCACCCCTCTGTCACTTTTATTTATAAATACCCCAAGTAAATGATCATATGTTGCTACTTACTGTTGAATCTGATAATGACATTCCAGAAAAAGATATGTTTGGGTCAAACCGGCTGGATTTGAAAAGACCCACGAAGTCTGTGTCATTGTTTCCGTAGTTCGGCAAGTTCGATTTAAGACTTTCAGCATGATTAGACTTTTCCACAGCATCACTGTTCTTTAGTTTAGAAAATTCAGAAAGTTTAGTTTCTGGCAAATGGAGGTTGCTTTGTGAATCCAGATCTTTTTTGGTTTCTTCTTTTTGCAGGTATTTTTCCATGTAGCTGGGACTTTTCAAGCCTGATTGAGATGTACTTGACGAGTCAAAATTGAAGACCTGTAAGTAGTGGTTGGGTGGAAGATTTGGCTGATCTTTCTCTGAAGTGCAGGGTGGGGCATCCTCAGCCACAGGCTGTAGCACAGGAGACCGAGAAAGAGAAGTGTTCTGTGAAGAGCTGAACGTTGTGGTCATAGTGTTGACTGACGTTACAGAGGGAGAAAAGATTTTGTCTTGTGGTAAAGAAGATAACATGCTTGAGAAAAGTGCACTTTTTTCTAGCCTAGATCTCTTAACTCCACCATTCGTGACGTCCCTGTTCTCCTTGCCATTTATTTCTGGAGTCGCCAGAGGTTCATCTTTCCCATTAATGTGAGTGTGCAAGGACTTGAAGAGGATACTCTGTTCGGTGGACAGACGTTTGGGCCTCAGTTTGGATTTTGTGTCCAGGTTCTGCATGAAATGTAAAGCCGGTGATACTTCTGACTGGCTTTCTTTTTTCTTCCCCAAACCAAAGGTAAACACATTAGGATCAAACACCTTTTCTAAATTGTCCTCGTGAATCGGAGGCATGACAAAGTGAGGGGCGGGAGAGTTTGGCACCCTGGCCTTCTTTTTCTTCTGAGGCACACAAATCGCACTGTCCATCTTCTTTATAATTTCAGTGAATTTTTCCATATCCGAAGAAGAATCAAATACGCTGTCATCGCTACCAGCGGAAATGTTCAAAAGACTGGCAGGGCTGTCCTGGCCATTCACCACATTGTGATCTGGCCTTTGAGTAATTTCTAAATGATTTCTGCTACCAGGGGAGCGGGTGGGGCTGGATTCAACCGTCAGGGGTGTTCTGTTGCCTTGACTTTGAGCCTGAGTAGGCAGAGTTTTTTCTGATTCCAGCAGCGTGACTTGTGGGCCAGATTTTGCTACATGTTCCTCTTCACGATGAATGTGTTTGGGTGATGTACTCTTATTGCCCAGTACTTCCTCTTTCTGGGGAGCACAACTTGCAACGGAAACCACTTCAAGTTCATTATTGTGACAACTTGGCAACTGCACTTCTCTAACTTCAGAGCTATCTGAGAGGATCTGGGAGCTTACATCCTGGGTGCTCTCCACAGGGAGCACGAAAGACCTGACCTGGACAAGGACCTTGGATGGACACTCAGTTCCTTCAGCTTCTGGGCTGTGCTCTGTGTTCAAAGGAGGGCTTGCTTCTCCTCCTTCTCCTGCTACAAGTTTAGAGGGGGGCATTTTCTCATTAATCTGATGAGACACAGGCAGAATACATCCATTATGGTTTTCTGACACTTTTAGATCAGTGCCCAGAAAACTGCCTATGGGTGCTTCGGCACATGTGTCTTTGGGAACACCCACAGGAATGCATTCAGGCAGTGAAACAGGAGACTGATTAGATGACTCAGCTGGGGGCTGTGAGTCAGAAAATTTATCCTGTGGCTTTGGTATGACTGTTGGACATGAATCTTTGGCATCAAGAATGGTGGGGATGTTTTGTGCTATATCAGTCTCATTTTCAAGTACAAGTCTTTTGCCGTCAGCAGCCTTTGAATCGTCCTCTCCTAAGAGCTTCTGGTCCTGGACAGGAATCAGAGTAGTAACCACCGGTTGAGAAAGGCAGCCAGCATCTATTTGCACATCTGCCTTATCACCTTGGTTAAGCTGAGAACCAAGAGCTTGATCCTCAGTAGGCTGGCCTTCCATCCCTCTTACACTGGGACTCCCGGTTGCTGGCAGAATCTCCTCTTCAGTGAGAATAACTTTGGTTTCTGCAGAGGTTTCTTTCACCAGCACACCATTCTGGTGACTACTTGACATTCCTTTCTTTTCAGGTTGTTCCATTTCTTTGGCTTTTTTGGCTAAATTCAGCTTCGCCCTTCCAACAAAAGTTTTATTAGAGGCAGGGGTGCTCCTTGTGCTTCGAATGTCAGCGTGTCTTGGGCTACTGTTTGCCCGTTTGTTTTCAAATAAGGAGATTTTGGTGGCAGTGTTTCCTTTATGAACTGGCTGGCTAAATGGATTGTGCTCATTTCCCAAACTGTCAAGATTCTTAGGGTTTTTAAGATTTAGTTCCACATGTTTGGGCCTGGCAGGGCTGCAAAAATACGGAAATAATAAAGTTATTGACCTAGTTTTAAAAGGTGAACATACTAATTTATTACAAAACTATAAAAAGCCAACATCTTTCCGATATGTGGCATTTTTAAAAATTAATTTTTAAACAACCCTAAATACACTATCAATTATTTTTAATGTATATTTTTCTTCTACATGAAGGATGAGAAAATTATATAACTAAGAAAGTCTAGAGGTGGGAGGTTAACAAGTTTATCGAGTACCTAGTTATGTACATGCAGGGCTTGGCACTAGAGTTGAGAGACAACTTAGGGCTAGAAGAAGTCTAAATACTTAAAGCATTTCCATACTTTAAAAATGTAAATGATTTCCCCAAACATTGAACGTGTATTTTTTAGTTTGTCATAACTTTTTTCACATATCTCGAAAAGCTAGATTACAAAAAATATCTATTATTTACCTTTTTGGATATTTTACTCCCTTTATCCTCCCCCATAAAATTTTTCTATGATTATATAAGTGCGTTCACTACAGAAAATTTGGAAGATATAAAAAAGGAAAATCATTCATAATCCTACCACTCAGATAATTTCTCTGTTAACATTTTAGTGTAAACCCAATCTTTTTATATGTGTAGTTAAATATTTTTAATAGAAATGAGATTATTCTGTTCATAGAATTGATTTCTTGCCTTAAAAAAAGATTACTTAACCTTATATTTAACATTTTTAACATGTTTTAAGTTACTAAAAATTTTGTTTGAAAGGTTTTCTTAATGTCTGCATAAAAGTTCATATGGATGCACCATAATTTACTTATCAATTACTCAATTGTTGGTTTTGTCACTATTTCTTGGACAAAAAGAGCCTCCCCTCTCAGGTGAGTTTCTTGCGAATAAGAATGCACATTCATTTTTCTTTCTGAGAAACAAAATGTTCTTTGACATTATTTGGATCTGGTCCTGGCTCTTACACTAATTATCTGTGTGAACCTGGTCAAGATACTTTAACTCTTTGGACTCTATCTTCTCTATCTATTTTAAAAAACAAAACAAAACAAAACAAAACAAAAAACAACTCCAAACCCATCTCCACATCCCCATCCTCCAAGTTACGGTTGAAATAATCCTTGGAGTTCTCTTCCCGGGCTGCAAGTGGGATAGCAGAGACTCAGGGATGGGGCTGTTGGCTGGCCACCCTCCTTTCAACCAGAATCACTCCTACTTATCTGTTTTATAAATCACTTTTATATAAGCTTTCCTAGAAGAATGGGCTCCAAAGCTAGAGATAAAAATGTCTAAACCACAGGTCTAGTGGTTTACAAAATAGAAGAGATAATAACCACTAATATTCGCTGACTACCAAGCACTTGAGAAACACTCTCTATGGCTTGCATAATGCACAATTTTATACATTCTCTTTTAAGATGAAGTTGAAGCTTGGAGAAGGTAAATAATTCGCCTGAGGTCACACAGCTAGTAAATGACAGGATCATGATCTGAAGCCAGGTGTTCTTGTTTCAGATGCCATGCTCCTGACCACCCTACTATTCTGCTTCCACAGAAAGAGTCAGACTAGACTGGCCTCAGTGACCTCCTCCGGTTCTTTCTAATCCAAGGAGTCAATGATTTATCATGAGATCTATAAGATAAAGTAACCATACTTTATGAGGACACTATGATAATGAGAACACAAAGTGAAGAAGCATTTTCTCATGCTGGCTCCTGCTTGGACTCATTGCCTTTCAAGAAGGTTGGGCCTGAGAAGTGTTTTCCGGTGAGCCCCTGACTTGCCCACGTGTTAGACTCTTTGCTGAGTGTTTTGAAGGATCAGGTAGTGCAACTTTGAGACATTTTATCTTTCTTGACTTGAGAAATCCTTCCCAAATGCAGCACCAAGAATTTAGACTCTCATTAACAATTTTTTATTTAAATACTAAATTTGATATATTCTCATTAATTTCTCCCGGTCTTCACTTTTCTCAATATCTCCTCCATAAGATATCTAGGCTCCCACATCTTAAATTTAAAAGCAAATTAACTTATAAGCACTTCATTAAAGATAAAATTCTAAAACCAGTGAGATGACCAGAAATACAAAGCTTACAAATATTATCAGTTAATGAGGGATGTTCAAATGCCAGGGAATATGCATTTTAAAATTTCTTACTAATCAGCTCAAAGAATGACAAACATCAAAATGTATCTTATGATGTAAATGGAAAATGCTACAGATTAGCCAACAAGCTACCTTAAGGACAGGAAACACACATCTGTACATTAAAGATTTACACCAAGATCAAAATACATTTTACAACCAAACTTTCTGTGCAATTAACTTCTGCTACCAAGAGTCACTACAATTAACCTAGCTCAAAGTAATCAAAAGGCTCCTATAATTCATGTTGTAATGCCTTCTTTACAATGTGAGAGGGGAAAATAATGGAGTCTAAAAAGCTGTGGCTATGAGTGGAAAATTCTTATTTTAAATATATCATTTTAGGAATCTCACCACTCAATATTTGGTAGAGAACTGAAGACATAATTTTTCTAACAGCATAAGAAACATGCTGCTTCAAAATCATTATTTTTGAGGGTATATAAAAGAGTTAAAACTGAAACTTCAGACTCAAATTGTTTTTAAAAATAATCTGAGTAATATTTTTTCTTGCAATACAATCAGGGGAAAATTAAAAGGTCTGAAAAACCCCATCAAACAGAAAAGGAGTAGAAAGAATTATTAATTTTCCATTTCAATAGTTTGCCAATATACTAAGTGTGAGGCCCTGTAGAAAACAAAATTAAATGAGTGGCTGGCAAAGGAAAAATTTCACGTAGAAAGTAATCAGTACTGAGAAAAGAGAATTTGGTTTAGTTCTATTATAAATAACAGCACACGAAGAAGTTTCACTGTTAAGATTGGCTTCTCTAGGTTTGTTTATCCTACTCCTTAGCAGTGTCACATTTCTAGCCTTGCTACTCGTGTATTCCTCTCAGAAGACAGAGGGAAGCAGAAGCCTCCTTGTTCAGGTACAAGCAACGTTTCTCTAAGGCTCACACTTAGGAGGTCTGAATGTTGGCACACCGGCCTTCTACAAATAATGAGCATCATTCACTCAGGTTATTTCTCAGACGCCGCTGTTACAGAGTAAATAGCTGACTATATCAAAGGTCTGCAGGTTCACAGCTGGTGAGGAAGCTCAAGTTATTCATTAAGCAGATCTTCCTCTCAAGGGTTTACCAAAAAGACCTCCTCTAAAGCTTATCCAAGAATTCAAATAGTCAGAATGGACCATTTGGTTTAAGAATGATAATGCTGTGAAAATACCAGCTCTTTCAATAAATATGTGAATGCAAGAGAAACTTGAGCAGTTTAGATATTCATTTTTCACATGTGCTGACTGGGGATGTAGGAGTGAGAGTGTGGGAAGGGGGAGGATCTTAAGAATGTTATAGTGCCCTCCCTTATCCTGTCTACCTATGCAACTTGATTTATCATTAAGGAACAAGTCCCAATTCCTAGGAAAAAACAAAAGTGCTTTTCTTCCTCCTTTCCACATCCTCAGGCTTCAGAGATGGTAATATTCATTGGCAGTTTAATCAGATATCACTTCATATTGTTACTTGATTTGTCAGTATCTTGTGTGCCAGACTGGGCCATAAACTTTTCAAGGGCAAACTACTGAATCATAGTTGTTTTTTTACCCCCATAGTTCTTAGCACAGTACCATGAACAGAAGGTACTTAATAAATATTTGAAAAATAAATCAACTTAGCAGCAACTTAGTCATAGTCTGTTGTTGAAATTGATTCTTCTAATGTGTCTTTTCATTTAGCAGTCTCCCCAGTAAAAATAACTGACCTTTCTTAATTTCAATAACTGAAAATTACTTTTCAATTCGGGGAAGCAAAAATATCACCAGACTCCCTAACATTAAAAAGGGGAAGAAAGAACCAAGATATTTGTATTAGGTTTTTTGTTTTGTTTTGTTTTTAAGGCTTTAGGCAAATAATGCACTAAGTTCCATAAAAGGTTCTGTGAATTCTCATAAACGCACATATGTCAAGGCTACTGGGACATACTGAATATATTAGTGTTCACTCCATGTTATCAAATTCTATGCATATGTGTTTTAAGAATGCCCTATCCAAGAATGCCAGTGTACACTCTGAATAAAGAATGAATTAGCTTGTCAAGCCATACAGTCTCCTCTCTATTGTTTATGTAAACACTAAACCTCATGGGATCTCATTTTTACATTCATTTAACTTAAACCTTATATTAAAACAGGAATTAACAACCGACTAGGCTCCCGAATGTGTCATCTTCTTAAACTGTAACTATTAACTAGCTCTTCCCTATCTCAATTTCAACATAGAGAAAATTCAGTGCACAGATAGTTCTCCCACAAATGCAAAGACCCCGGGCTTCTCAGAGCTGCCGCCCAGCATGTCTGTGGACACAGCATCTCCGCCCGGCCCAATTCCACAGTTACTTACAGGGTCACTTTAGTGGTCACCGTCGACCTGCCTGCACCGAAATGGTTTCTGAGCTTCAAGCCGTCAGCGTCAGGACCTCCGGCCAATCTGCCCAGCTCTCTGCTTCGACTTCCTTCTCCACCGCCATCGAAGTGGTTGGGGAGCGGCCCCCTCTTGTGCTCTGGCTTGATCTCTGGCAGCAGCGAGCTGCTCTTGACCGTGAGCTCGCGAGGGACAACCCGGGCTGCCTCCTCCCCGTTCTCCCCTGCAGCGCCCTTGGCTGCGGGGCCAGAGTCCGGCGCCGGCGCCCTCTTGGGCGGGGACTCCTTGGCGGGAGCCCGCGGGCCGCCAGCGGGCGGGGTGGGCACAGCCTCCGGGACGCGGTTCTTGCCCCTCCTTTTGGTGGGAGACGAGGCCGGCAGAGGTTGCTTGCTCCGGTCCGACTCCCCTCGGGGCTGCCCTTTGGGGCCGGGGCTGGTCTTGGACTCCGGGCTCGCTGCCGAGGCAACGCCCCCGTCCGAGGCAGCCCGCGGAGATTTCACTTTCTTTTCCGCAGAGCCGTTCTCGGTGGCCGCGTTTGGCGCCACCTCGTAGTCGAACACCACGTCGTCCCTGGCCGCGCTGTCCGGCAGCGCGGTGTCCGAGCCGGGGGAGTCCGCGGATTTCTGCGACTTCCTCCGCTTCCCCGACCTGCGGCCGCTCGACCTCTTATCCATATCGTCGTGATCGCTGCAATCTTCTGCGCCGGGAGTAATCACGACCGGCTCGTCCACCTGCGCCACCTCAGACTTACTCAAGTAGATGTCCAAAGTTAAAACTTTGGCGGGATGGGCACGCTCGCCGAACCGGCACCCTCGTCCTCTCGGCCCGGCTTTGCCGTCTGCCTGCGGAGAACGCGCCAAGTTCTCTGGGCCCACAGCAGGAGGATCACCTGGCAGAGCAGATGCGTCCTCGGGAGGCTGGCTGTGCGCGTCTTGGGATTCCGGGAAGCCTCCTTCTGCACCCACGTGGGGGGCTCTGCCAGCGGCCTCGCCTAGTCCCTCCGCGGGCGGCTCCCCGGTGGGCGACCCCGGCACATCCCCTGCTCCTTGGGCTGTCTGGTGTTCGCAGTCAGCGCCAGCCAAAGCGTCCTGCCTCGGACTGCCGGCGAGCGTTTCTGGGTTCTCTTGCCTGGGGGAATTCTCTAGTGAGGAATGCAGCTGCTTGGCAACGGTGGTGGCACCTGGGAAGGGCTCTTCCTCTGCTTCCAAAGGTTCTAATTGGGGTGAATCACTTCCATGGCACTGCTGCACAGCCACCGCTGCATGACTGCTCGAGCAAGGTGACAGCTCTGCGTCAGGGGGCGCTGCCTGGACACAGGTCTCGGAGGGCTCGCCCTCCAGCTCCTGGGGCTTTTCCTGGGGGAGGCCCACCTCGCCTGTATCTATTTGTTTTGATTGGCTGCCCTGAGAGTTCCTCTTCTCATCCTCTCTTTCAGGGAGCTGGGAAGAGGTTACATCTTTCGGAGAGAATGATTTGGCACTGGAACTGGTGGGACTCTCTAATCCGTTTCTGGTGTTCCTTCTCCTTCCTGACGTGAACAGGTTGCCAAGTTTCCCCAAAACTGGCTTCTTTTTGTTCTCTTCTGGTGGTTGTGCTCTGGACTGAAAAATAAAAGGGAGTGGGCGAGAGAAAATATGAGAATCCGTTTTTTTCCACTTTAGTAGTAAGTACGTTACGGAACTTCAAGGCAAAATGATAATAGAGTTTCTAATTGAAAATTTGGGAATTTTTGTTACGTTCATTCCAACAAAATAAACTGATTTTACTTTTTAAGTTTTTTTTTTAACGTCATCTATGTTTGGTGTTACTGAGAATAAAATCTACTTTGTAATTCTTGTGTTTTAAAGGAAAATTCAGAAGGTCCAAATAACCTCATATACAAAACAAACAATTCCCAGATCTGTCTAGCTTTTGCTTTTTACCTCTTTCCTCGATAAAGATGCAATTTCAAAACAGCTGTGCGTGACTGTAGGACAGCAGCAAAACCACTAAATTCTCTTAAAGCAGATTTTTTTTTTTCCTAAAACATCACCCTTTCTTTTTGCAGAACTATTAGTCTCCTTTAGAACACTGAGAAGCCACCTGGGTTCAACAAACTGCAAATGAAAACCTGAAGCAACAGGGATTTAATCATCCGGGCCCACCCTTGCTCAAATCTGCAGTTCCCGGTGGGCCGGGCCTGCGCTCCTCCAGTGGAAATAGCACGCGGGCATTCAAATGCCCGCTGATTCCCATCCAACAGATCCTATAACTTCGGAGTTCCCCCTAGAGCTTTTACTCGCGCGTATGTTCCTAGGAGCGTAAATACCCAGAGTACACGGAAGGACGGCAAAGGTGGAGGACGACCACCTTCGCATCCTCTCTGCTCCAGCCGGGAAGGCGCAGGTGGAGGATGCGCTTGGGGCTCTGCCCACGCCGACTTCAGCCCCCGGCCCTGGCCGCACCACCCCGCTGAGCTCCGGGAGCGCACAGGCGGGAGCCCCAGGGCCCGACCCACCCATGGGAGGTGGCCCGCGCCACCTGGGATGATCCGCACGGGTCCCAAGAAGAGGAAAAACCTGCTTCTTTTATGTCGCCTGGAGCAAAACGGTGCACACCTGGTGTCCGCGCCGGAAGCCAGGAGGGCTCTCAGAACAGGTCAATAAAAGCAAACCAGCCAATGAGCGCAGTGGCGCGCGGGGTTTTGCCCGGCGCTGGGAGAGTAGGCGAGGGGCCCGGGGTGGGCAGGAAGGAGAGGGAAGATGGAAGCACCAGCGGCGAGCTCTGCCCTGGCTCCTAGCCGACGGAAGCGTATTCAGGATAATTATCCCCACTGGAAACAAGCCCACACGTGTGGCTACAATACCTTAAGAATTACCTATTCCACTTCAAACCCAGGAGCTAACTAGATACCCCCTTTTCCTGGTAGGTGAACATTAGGGCAGTTTTTACAATATTGACTGTTTACAAGGAGATTCCTGAACCCCTCTTTAAAGCGGCTCTATTTCCTGTGAGTAATATACAGCCAGTGGACTTTGGAAATAGTGGGAAATAGGAAAGACTGTAAGAGAGAGCATGGAATTAACAAGGCCAACGAGTATTTATTGAGACAGTCGTGACACTGTAACATCATGTGATTCTGCGACAGCCTGGTGAGGTGCTGTTGAAATGAGGAAAACGAAGCTTGGACAGAGAAGAGACATAACACTAGTGCTGGGGGAGGAGCAATAAAGTCAGGCTTCAGACCCAAGTCCTCGGCTTCCAGCCCTACTGCTTTGACTCCACCACAGGGACCCCTTTCAGAGCATGTGGAAGTGCAGTGGGCACCTCCGAGACAATCTGGTGGAATAGATTGCAGGCCACATACCCTCAGGATTGGCTCCTGAGGAAGGGCTTCTGAATCGGATTTACTGACAAACTCCATAGGTGTTTTTTCTGGTTTGAGAAGCATCTGGTAGGAGATTTGGAACAGGACAGCTGCTGCTTTAGGAGATGGACCAATGTTGCTGAGAGCTTTTGTGACTTAACTGATATGCTTCTAAAATCTAACCAGATTTTGATTAATAATTCAATTCTCCAATGATTATATAAATAATACAGAAAGAATTCACTATGTAATTTTTAAAAATATGTTAAAACCTTCCAACTTCCTAAGGAATATATTTGGAATCTTACTATGAGTCAATAAAGCTTTTTAAACATAATATTGTAATTTATGCTTACTGAGTCCTCCTTATACACTTGACACTTGCTAAGCAATTTACATAGATTCTCATCCAATCCTCCTAAAAGCCCTTAAGGTAGGCAGTTTTTTAAAGCTCATTTGCCAGATTTACTTATCCCAAATTTACTTATCTAAGGTCCCACAGCCAGCAGTCTTTCTTCCTCTGGAGATGGAGTTCCATCCCTGCTGTCTGAACAGGCCTTCGAACATATCCTGAAGAAGTAGCCAGGAAAATAGGGTTGAGTCTATTGGCTCAATTCTAACTCATGTCAAAAAAAACCCAAATAAGTGTGTTATTCTGCCAATGATGTTGCAATCCATCTTTCCCATGTGGTTGAAAGACGCCTGATCAGCAGTCCTCTCTGTTCAGTACAGACATTTTTTTTCAATTTTGGCTATCGCCGCTTTTTATAAAACCAGTTAACTTGGCCTCATCAACTACTTGACTCCTCTTCCCTTAAGAAGAGCAGCCGGTTTATCAGCTGCCTGGCTTTGTCTGTTGACCTACCTAGAATTGCAGTATTTTGTTTGTTTATACATGCGTGTTCATAATAGCTTCATTCATAAGTCAAAACTGGAAAAACTTAAATGTCCACCAACGAGTAAATGGTTGAATTGTGGTACATTCATACAACAGAATACTACTCAGCAATAAAGAGGACTGAACTTCTGAAACAGGGACCAACATGGATAAATCTCAAAAGCGTTATAACTGAGTAAAATAAGCCAGACTCAAAAGGTTACATACTATATGGTTCCATTTACATGATGTTCTAGACAATGCAAATCTAATCTATAATCATAGAAAGTAGATCAGTAGTTGCCTGAGGGCAGGGTGGGGTCGGAGACGCGACTGGAAAGAGGCACAAAGGAACTTTGGGGAGGGATGGCAAGGTTCTATATTTTGGTTGTGGTGATGGTTACACAAGTGTACATATTCTTCCAAACTCATCAAACTGCACACTTAAAATAAGTGCAATTTTTACATATGAATTCTATCTTAATAAAGTTGATTTAAAAATAAAATTCTTCCCTGGGAAATAAAGAGCAGAAACACAATTCATCTGTCTCAAATGCACGTTTCATAGTTCTTAGTCAATGGGGGCCTCAAGTCATTTCAAAGGCTTGGTCCTCATTTATAGAGGAATTCAGTCTTTCCTAAAAGGGCCAGGCACCTGTGTATCTCCAGCTTCATATTTCTCTACTCAGGATCCTCGGAGCAGAGTTCAGAATGCCTATTCCTCCAGAGTAAAGTCCACAGTAACAGCTCTGAGGAACATCCCTTCTTAAAACAGGACCAATACTTCTTTTCAGTCAGGGATGATTCCTTTCCAGTGTTCATGGAAGAAAAATGAGTATGGCAATAGAGAACAAAAAAGTGGTTGGCCTGGGAGTTGTCCAGAGAGTGGCAGCAGGTGCCTTCTTAAGTAGCAGCCTTTGTGTTTCATGTTCTAAACCCAGGCTGGGAGGCCACACACAAGTACTTTCTCCTTCAACCTTGACAATAATCTGTAAGGAAGGGATGTTTTCCAAAGAGGCCATGAGAGCCAATTGGTCTTCTTCCTGCTCCCCCAGGCTCTGCCCCAGGCTCTCTTCTGGGCATAGGCAGGGTCCTGAGGTTCTCAGATTCTAGCAGAGGCGGGCAATCCTGGAACCTCTTCTGTCGTTAGCTTTTTACCATGTACTTTCTGCCCACCCTACTTAAGGCAGACTGCACACCTCACCGTGCAGAACTAAACTTGGAATCCTCTCTCACACATACTCTACTGAGATGAGTGCAGTCCATCAGGCTACTTTGGAAATGATCCATGAGTTGTAAACTGGGATCTGTTTTGGCTAGTATTAAATGTGGCTCATTAGGGGTCATGTGTAAGCATCTACGACATGACCATATTCCAGGCAGAGTGTAGAGGCCCAGGCATCACTGGCTGCGGTGCTGTTCTGTGATTCTCAACCTTCTTGGTGTGACAGTACCTGTTATCAGCAATTATCAAAAAGCTACTTCGTATTGTTACATATCATTTCAGAGTCTCTGCTGTATCCTCAGCTAATGGGGAGCAAAAGGGTCAGAAAATACAGGATAAATTGTTAATATGCTGCCAAATTGTTAATATATCAAAATGTCTAGACATATAGGCAAAATAGTGTGCTTATTGCACTGTTTTTTTTTTTAGATTACCTTTAGGAGTCACTGCTTTAAACTGTTAAGTACTTCACATGAAATCAGGTCAGAAGTTGAAGAAAAATATGTTAAGCATATTATTTGAAAATGTAATGAACATGCTGTTTATAAATAAGTCTTTCATATGTTTCCCATCTTTTCATTGCCCAGTGGATATAAGCCACTTAAGACCAGGAAAATGTCCTTCTGCATTCCCAACATCCAGCACAGGGACGTCAGCTAGAAGTGGACACAATTATTTGCTGCTACTAAAGAATTAGTAACATTTATCCTCTCTTCCAAAAGGGAGTTA